ACCAAAGAAGCAGTTAGAAAATAGAGGAAACAACAGTAGCTGACTTTAATTTTTATTCAGGAACAGAAATAAGTCAATTAACATGTCAAAAACATGTCTCTCATTTTGATATATATCCTAATTTCTTTTTTTTTTTTTTCCACAGAACTTTGCATGACATCAAACATAAAATCCCAGACGGTGCCTTCCTGTGACAAACACCATTTTGGATACTGGTACAGCATGGGCCATCCCGCAGTGCTCTGTGTAAGTTTTTTGATTTTTAACCATGTATTTAGGCAAAGAGCCAAACTAATGTGAAGTTGGAGAAGCATTTCTCCTTTAATGGATCGGAGCTGACTTACAGTTTCTGACCTTGTAGCAAATCATTCACTTTCAGGAAATCAGAATGTTCAGTTTGACAAATGCTGGTAATACAAAGGGCAATTGATAGTACTTCTCTTGGTTCTGTTGTAAAGCCAGGTCTTGTTTTTCTGTGTGGATAAGATGATCAGCTATACGTGCAATGACCTTCATAGCTGTTTGCATACTGACAGGTTTCCCCTAAAACACAGGGTCCAGTGCTTGCACATAACACTTGTGTGTACCAGGGGGTCCATTGTGTTGGGGGAGAGTTCTTGTGTTCTCTTGACAGCTCGTTAAAGTCCTTAAACACTGAGGTGCCAAGTACTTGTGCTGCAGGATTTTACTATCATCCTATTGGTTTAACCCCCATAATCTGTAGCATTGTTCAAGTGTGTGTATATAAATATATATATTTATATATATATATTTTTATATATATATAAACATATTTAAAAATTGTGCTTATGTTTAAAATAAGCCTCAATCCTTTATTGTCTAAAGGGTCAGAGAGTTTCTTCCTTGAAGATGTGGAACACAGAGTATGCTCTAGTTCCCAGATCTAAGGAAAGGAAAAAGAGGAATAAAGAGACCTGCACATAGCTTGAATGTATGCAGCATTTGATAGCCATCTTTCTAGCAATTTTAGTAGGGAATCCTATTTTCTTGATAAATTATGCCATCATTTTAAGAAGTTAATTCATTTTGAGTGAAAACAGGGCAAATAGAGATGAAATAATTATGCACGGATGAAAGAACCGTGGAATAAAATGTGAGACAGGAAGATAAAACTGGTTTGTATGTATAGAAAAAGACTTCTTTTCATGTTGAGGAACAAATTTAACCTTTTTTTTTTTCTTTTCTTTCACTGTAACTCCAGACTGATGATAAAGGCGTCTTTGCAACCGAACTATCACAAGAATATGAGCTGGTTGCAAAAACATTTAATTTGACTCGATCACAGATGTGGGATCTTTCCTATGAGTCAATCAACTATATTTTTGCTTCAAATGCAGTGAAATCCAAGCTCAGGGAACAATGGTGCGAACTGAAGCCAGCTCTGTTTGATTAATCAAACTGTTGTTCTAAACAGCTCGGGTGTAGTAGGTGAGTTAATAAGCATTTTTTACTGAAGTCCCCAGCTTTTTTCAGACTTCAGGGTTATAAACCCAGCCCTAAACTGCTTGTGCAAAATGAAGATGATGGGAATGTATCCGTTGTTGGTGGGGACAGAAGTAAATGTTCTTTTATAGTTGGGAGTGGCTCTCAACCAGTGACCAAAACTCCAAATGTGTTGTCACGTTGTTTCTTGTCAGCTGATATGACATTTTAAAAAAATACTTAGTTGAAATATGTCATTATAATATTAATATTTGAGAGCTGGAACAAAATGAAGGCACAGCTGTTGGTGTTTCAAGTGTCTCTGTTGGCAGCGTTTCCCCAAGCAGTTTGGATGTGTGGTGTGTATATCTGGGGGTTGTACTGTTTTCAGGTTTTGAGCAGTTGATTGAATGTGAAGACAGAAACAAACTCAGGGAGAATGAACTATTTGTCCCAAAGGAATTTAATATTTTCTCTGTTTTTATTGCTGTACATGTATGACTGAAGGCTGCTGTGGGTTGTGTGGCACGTGCTGGTGCTCTCGGTGGTGTTCAGGCAGTTTGAGAATCGTGAACGCCTTCGGTACCTGAGCTACTCGTGCAAAGTGGTTTCGTTCTTAAAGTGCTTTTTAGAGTTGCTGTTTGTTGTGTAAAAAAAAAAAAAAGGCAATAAAAATATCTTCAACCTCCGTGTTTTTGAAAGCACCCCTTCGAGGCGTGGATGTGAGGTGTGGATGTGGGTGTTTGAGCTCTACAGAAGAGATTCCCTGGGGGCGAGTCCCTGCAGCAGACGAGCTGCCTGCCAGCCACAAAACTGCAGCCAGGGCTCCCTGCCTTGGGCAGCCACAGGGTTCACTGTGCCCTCTCTGTGCACTTGGCATGTGTTTTGGTGCTGAGGGTTCAGAATGTCTCTGAACATGCACATGCAGCAGTATCCAACACTGGGCACTGCTGGCTAGTGCAGGAAGTATCTGGAGAGAAGGTGTTTCCTACCTACAGTCCTTTTGCATTGATTAATTAAACATCAGACGTTCTGGGCTCCATGAGGAATACTGAATGTGTGTCTAATGATACAAAAGCTGTTCATAATACAGTCAGCATAACATAGCTCTGGCTCCTAAGTGGCAATAAGGCTGGGGAAGAGGATAGCAAAGAAGTTGGTATGTCTGTGTGTCTACTGGAGGTTTCCACAGAATATTTTCCAAGCAGAAAACATCTCCCTTTTGGAGATGCAGGGAAATTATTGTGGAGCAGAGCTGTGGGTTTATATATTATCTGAACCAGAATAAGACCATATGTTGACTTCTTCTCTATAAGCAGTACTTTAAATTACTTTCCAAGTAGTTTCACTGGTCACGTTATCAGTTGCTGTTTGATCACGTTTGTCTGTATTTTCTGTTAGCAAAAATAATTACCATGATAAGTGTATTTTTTCTTTCTTATTGAAAGCTCTCTAAAGACAGGTGGAGCAGCTTTCTGGAATTTTATAGTTAAGTATATGTTAATCATCTCAAATAAGATGGCATTCTCATATAAGTTTAGAGTATTTCATAGCTCATGGCTTTCTAATAACTCTTCAGTAACACAGTATTTGATTTATTATTGAAGAAAAACTGTAGACTTATTTATTTACTAAGGAGTCATCCTCAGTGTTCATTGTATCATGTGTAAAATTTTCTAAAGCAAAGTAAGACTCATCATTAGTGTCCGAGACTTTTAGTTCCAAACTGTTGGTGTTATATGGAAGTAAATTGGATTTTTAAGGTTGTCATGTGGAATGTGACATGTAGAAGTGTTAATTCTGAGAGCATAGCCCAGGTATATGCTGATATTTTCAACTCCCTTGTTTTTCTGCAAGTATACAATGTCTTACAGACTTTTTAACAACATGGAGTATTACATATAATTCCCAATATTTCCATTTGATTTACTTCTGTGTGTCTTCACGATACTGCCTTGCATCAGCTGTAGTGCTGCCCCCAGATAGTTTGGTACACGATGGCACATGGATGCTGCACAGTTTTATAATTAAAAACAACCAACTTCCCTGATTATTCACGACACAAGCATTTGGACTGAACCAGTGCAGTTGTATGTAATCTGGAGTTCTGGAATCTCTCTTCTGAAGATTTACCTTGTCACTCAGATATTTGCAGGTGTGCTGGTGATTTAAAAAACCACCACTTTGTGTTCAGTAGTATTTATGTCTTGGTAATGGGAATCAGGAGGTAACTTGGAGGATTCCATTTGTGTGCAGTAAAAGAACCAGGAATCTATGTGGGTGGCTGAAGAATCAGAATCAGGATTTCTGTACATAGGACTCTCACTGTTACTGAGGTTATTTACACTGCAGAAGTGTTATGCTTAGGAAATTGGACAGGATGTGGACTTTTGGAATGAAGAATCACCATCTGATGAGACCTTTGTAATGCACAGTTCCCAAGCTGTTCGTTAGAACCTGAAACCCTCTTACTGTCTCTGGGCTAGTTTTCCAGAGTTTAACTTTTTTAAGTAAAACTGCAGTTTCCTTCTTTGGCTTCAGGTAGGATTATAATTAATTTTAATTTAAACACTTCTTGCTGAGCCTGCTTGTTAAATCCCAAGTTAGCAGTGACCACTGTTTAGTTTATAATATTATATAAAAATGACTGTGACACACAGTCACAGTGAAGCATCACCACACAATTAACCATCGGTAGTGGGGGAGAGGACTTTTTTCCTTGAATGCAATGGAAATTTTGAGTAACTACTACTAGAATTACATGGTATAAGATGAGGTTTAAGTTATCTATTCAGGTGCCACTCAACTTATTTTTAAAGTAAACAAAATAGATCTAGACTGAGTTAATATTTTTGTTTATTTCCATCTGATTATATGAGAGAACACTTACAGAGCAGTCTCCAATGCTCAGTCTTTACTCACATCACATGAAAATACACACTGGTCCTACTAAAAAATACTGCTTTGGCAGTGTACATGAGAACAACTGCTCGCTGTGGCGTAACTTTCTCAGTTCCTTTGGAGGCAAACACAGAAAAGTCTTCAAAACCTCAACTCCTTATGATGAGACTGGTAACATACCACCCTTCTCATAATACAGCCACTAAACTGTAAGTATTTACACACTGCTCTTCAGGATCCCAGCTCTGCAAATGATGTAGTACATGAATGACTTATAGGTCTGTTTGGATGTTTAGGCATTTCAAAATAATACATTAAAGGAACGGATGCAGGTAGGGGCAGTGCACTAGCGAAGCGATTCAGCTGATTAAAAGGCTGGCACGTCCATCCTGTGAGGCCTAGAGAGCAGGTCACACTGGAGAGGAGAGGGCTCTGGGGCCAGATCTCATCAGTGTTTTTGAACACCTGATGGGAAGCAGTAAAGAACACGGAACTAGGCCCTTCTCAGCAGTACCCAGTACCGGAAAAGGGGCACAAACTGGAACATAGAAATTGCACCTGAATGTAAAGAAACACTTCTGTGGTTGTACATGGAAACATATCACCCGAACAGGCAGGGAAGTCTCTGTCTTCACAGATGCTCAAACTGCTCAGTGACTTCTTGTAGCTTGAGACAAGGAGGTGGACTGGGCAATCTCCAGAGATGCCTTCCAACCTCACATGTTCTGTGGAGAAAATATCCAAATATACAAATGATTAAGTCTCTATATGAATACAAAAGCTTGTAAAATTAAATACTGACTTAACTCAGTCACTGAAGTGACAATTTTTCACCAGGCTTGGTCACCAGCAGTTGGCTGACTTGTGAGCCTGTTTTTAAAGAAGAGTTTATTCACTCTTCATAGCCTTCCTTCTTTCACAGCCATTGTGGAATCCCTTGGTGCCATCAGGACCTCTAGGCAGCCTCAGTACCCCTACAGGGAGACCGTCTGCATTTTGTATTTTCCTAACCAACATGGGACTGCTGCTGGAACTCTTCTCTTGTGTGAGAGTTTGGGCTTTCCTTCTCTGTACCCAGGGGCTCCCAGAAGGGGTGATGCTGCTATCTGAGGAATAATCTGAACATTTCCTTGGGATTTCAGGGCTAGTGCTTGGGTTAAGCTTACTGTCTTCAGCCAGCGGAGATTTTTTTGTTACTTTCCTCAGGGAAGATGGACTGTTCCAAGGACTTGATCTGGGTGACACATTAGGACTCAAATGGTTATTTGGATGAATGATGGGGCTCAAATTACTCGCAGTGTTTGCTGCAGTACGTTTGCGCCCTGACAGTGGGGATGTGGGATTGCTCTCTGGGTCAGAAGAGCTGTTTGCTGAAGATTCATCACCAACAAACTGAAGTTCCTCTACTCTCTTATTAAGGGATCGAGTCTTCTTAAGACTCTTGCTGGAATCTTCATCGTGGTTCTTGTCTTTGGGAACTTTTTTCTTTGGCGGTTTCATTCCTATGAGGACAACTTTCATGCCAGTCTCTCTCTTTTCAGTGCACATTGAATCATGAGCACGTATGGCAGCATCTACTTCTTCAAATTCTATAATTGCACATTCCTGAGTTCCCAGCTGGGTGTACCGGTTGCTGACCCTCCTGATATCAGGTGGTAGGTCCCTGCCAGGCTTGAGAATACGAACTGATGAAATGACACCAAAAGTTACAAAGGCTTTGAGGAGATGCTCCATTATCCTTTCTTGCATGCATCCGTTTTCTTGCTTATTAAGAGCCTGCAGCTCAGAAATCATGTGGATGTCATACACCAGCAGCATCCTGGTAGGGACGTTTTCACTTGGAAACAGTGGAACTGGAGTCTTCCTTCGAACCTTTTTGTTGTCACCGTTGAGCTCAAGAGTGCCCGAGTACTTCAGTGCGTAGGCCGTGGTTCTCCAGTCACGGGTAAGGTGTTTCACCTTGGAGACAGACACAGGTTAAACACCACAACTGATCAAACCCACTCGGGTTTGATTACAGAATTTTAAGGCAGATCAAACCCACTCGGGTTTGATTACAGAATTTTAAGGCAGATGCAGTCTACAAACAGAAAGAGGGATTTAAGTTTCATGTAGCAAACTTGGTGAAAGAGCAAACCGTTTTCCTGCTGTAATGGGCCTCGGTGAGCTCTTGCAAAGCTCATGGCCTGTTGAATCTAATGGAAACAGGAACTGACACTAAAGCCCAAACTGGAAATCGTTACTGTATCTGAAAGCCTGCTCAAGGGATGCTTGGTCATTCCACATGTAGGTCTGAACCACGATCAGAATGTGTGTTCTTCTGGCAGGTTTATTTCGTTAAATTTGCCAAACAAGAAGTTTTGTCAAGTTTAGGACTTCATTGTCTTGAACTGTTTTTCCTCCCTCAAAACTCTCATCTTAAAAAACCCCCCAGACTTCTCTATTTCCTTTAAGTGGTTTATCTCTCACCAATATAATCTGTTTGAAGTGGTCTGAAGAAGCCAGGAGTGCCTCAGCTTCCAGACTGAAAAACTCTGCAAACTGTTAGGTGTAGAATCTTGATGAAGTATTTCTGTTGCAATTTTAGAAATTGGTTACATACACATATTTACATTGGTGTTCCTAATTTAAGAAAAAAATAATAGAACTCATCTCACCTTTAAGTGACTTCAGTTATCAGTTACTTTATACTACTCTTAATTTTTGGATCTTCATACAACTGCAAAGATCAGATTCACCATCCCTTCTCAGAGACAGGAATACAACTTTACCAGGATTACTCAGCTGCTCATGCATAGTTGACATAAAAATTCATTTTATCTGATGTCCCAGATGCTATGTTTTCCTCTCTCCCAGAATGATAATTTAAAAGCATACATGTTTTTAAGCCTATGACTTCCCTAGCCAATCATGAAGGAGTTCAGCTATTAAAGTTCTAGATGAGAACAAACCTAGCCATCGCAGCAAAACAAAATCAACCCCTTAGAGAGGCAGATAGAGACTGTAAAATCACCTCTATAAAATGTAATTTTCATCTCTCTTAATGTTTTTAGATGCATCAGGCTTACATGAGGCACTTCAAGTCTTAAAAAGTTAGCTTACCTTCTTAAAAGAAGTGAGGAGTTTAACACTGACATAGCCCATCTTATTTCTTCTCACATGTTTCAGGAGGAAGGCGTCTTTCTCAAGGTTCTCATCTGAGAAGTAATATTCAATCTGTGCTATTAATTTCTGGATCAGGTCATTTTCTGGTGGTTTCCAGTTCTGCTCAGAGTCGTCATCATTTTCCCCACCACTGGAAAATAATTAAATCATTTTTATCAAAAGATCATCTTATTATTAGTGGATTCAAATAGTTTTTCAAAATGAAAAGACATGACCACTTTACCAGTTGGTATTGCTGCTTCCAACTTACTTTATATATGGGCACTGAACAGTTACCACCCATCCATCTGGGACAGCTGGCCAGCTCAGAGGAGGAAGCTTTTCAGTCAGCATAAGGAGTCAAGTTCCTGAGATCATCCCCAAAGCTGATCTCAGGGCAGAATAAGCAGACATACACACTAACCTCTTGAAAACACTCTGCCAACTCAAATCCTCCACCAAAACATGAAATGAAGTTGCACAGGTACGTGGTACCATACAAAGCTCCTCCAGTGACAGTGTTTTATTTTTTAGTATGAAGATATTAAACATAGGCTTGACCTTTATGTGCTTCCTGGCTCACACATCTGAGGATGAATATCCCAACGTGATGCAGTCGTGATTTCTCAAGCCTCTTACCTGCATGAATGCAGGATCAGGAATCCAAAGAGTAAGCAGGACTGACAGGAGTGTTGCACTTTCAACAGGTCACTTCCAGAGTGACAGAGTAACATAACTAGCAGTTTTCCATAAGGGCTTTTGGATGTATGTGTGGTAGCAGCTCATGTATCTCAGGAAGTCATTCTCATTTTTTCTCTCCTTCCCATCATACTGACTAGGTATCTGTGCAAAATGGAGCACTACTGGGCATCCTATCCCAAAAGAGATACTGCAACCACGGGTTCAAGATGAACTCCTTGCCACGCACAGTTACAGCACGTTTGTTGCTGAAATAGCAATTTAAGTGGTCATTTCCATCTAGAATTGAGGCAAACGGCTCAGCCACAGGTGACTGTAATGCACAAGCCTGTCTTAAGCCAGAGTAATTTTTTAAGCTGTTAGCAATCCAGTTTTGTTACGGGACCATCATGAAAGTTTCTGTTAAAAAAATAAAATCACCCACTAAGTACCTTAGATCCTATAAATCATGTGTTACTTCAGTCTCCCACATACCTCATCAACAAAAAAAGGAGGAGCCATGCATTTGCCCAAAATTTTCTTAAATGGCTTTTGCAGAGCTTGTGAAATCACTAGGAAAGGGAGCAGGCATCACACTGGAGTCCCCTGAGGCTGATCTGGCAGGGAGGATGCAGCCTTGCTGAGTCACCCTGCCTTGAGACAGCTCTGTCCTGGAGATGAACTGGAGGCTGTGAGCGCAGCACTGCCTCGGCAGATGCTCCTTTTATGTCTGAAGGCCATGTTTAGGTCAGTGGGCTCTGCACAGGGACCATGCCCCCACCTGTGAGGGCTACAGCAGTTCTCTGGGACCTGGCTGTTTGAAGCTTCCAGTCCATTTACTTCTTATGGCTCTTCTGATGATAGGGCAGCACATCATGGCACGTATGTGGATACTTGTATGATCCGAGAAGTCCCACTGCTAAAATCTCCCTAGCCATTAATGGGGTACAGTTCAAAGGAAGGGTGAGAGAGCAAGAGAAAGAATTTACTTGGCAATGCCAGAAGTAGAGGATAATAGATGAAGTTATGATTAGGATAGTAAAAAATATTCGATGACCAGCTGTGGGTGCTGGTTTCAGAAGGAAGAAAACACCAGTGCTGTTTATTTTTCATTATTGATATTCCCTTACCCCACTACTCATTCTTCATTCATTAGCAATTCAGAATTAGTGTCAACACAAGAAACTTGGAACATTTCAGCCTTTTTGCATATCCACACTCTGCTAGGAAAAGCTTACCTTCAGTTCAGGATGGGGCTGTTTTAGAGAATATATTAGCACAGACATTTGCAGGTGTTGGATGGAAACAAAAAGGGGCATCATGCCTTAGAAAACAATAAAAATGAACTGCATGTTTGCAACGACCAGTGTTGTTTGCAACACATTGAATCAGAGCAAAACAGGCCTCATTGCACCTCTCACATATTGGTCACAGCCTGATAGTATTTGGCAGACAGCTCAGCTTTTACAAAATCCCATGGGCTCTTTCAACAGCCCTTGCTAAGTGCTGTATGGAAATGCCACCTACAGCAAATGCAGAAATTTGTAACTAGCCCCATATTAATTCATATTAGTGATCAACTGGTAGTACCTCTAGGGTATCAACTGTACTACAAAAGTAGATGATAAATCAATCCCAGTCGACACTGAGAATAAACCAAACCCTAGTAGTTATTCACAATTTTATTTCTTTAATATGCTTATCAAAACAGACAAAAACAATCTTTTAACCTGGTGACTCATCTGGCCATTAGTCACACAAGAAAACATATCTACATAGAGAGCAGATTTGGAGTTTTAAATATCAAGACTCACAAACAGTATATTAACTTGTTTGGATAGTGTCTAGCCTTTTGAAAAGTTTTAGCTGAGTCCCAAATGAATAAAGTATTGTATTAATAAGCAGTATGTGGTAATCTAATTTATGAGTTCCAACAGTACAATCTCTCCAAGGCAGTGCAAGTCTGTTAACAAAAATGTGGATACAATACTTGGTGCCTCCTTATGGAACGTGTGGCTGCAGCAATCATTCATTTTAATTTCTATTGTGAAACATTATCTTTTAGACTGACAACATCATAACAACATTCACTTTTCAAACTCACATTCATCCAAAATAAACTTGAGTAGAAATAGCTTTATTTCATGCACATGAGAACTACCTGTTTATTATCAACAGTCTGGAGATGGTTCTGAAGCACCTGGCAGCTAAAAGGCTGAGGACTGTATGTCACAAATACCCAGAGATTTCCCAAAGAACTGCAGGGCTTGACCACTGGGGAAACAGCTTTCATTTCATAAGTTATAAAACCTAGAAATTGAGGGGGGGGAAATTCAAATTGTCTGCTAGCTTCAGCTGGAGAGTGAGATGGCTCATTCCCAGCAGTTTTAGACCATCACTAATAATTTTCAAAATGCTTGTAAATAATTTCCTATCATATAAATAAGTGGCATTTAAGAGTAGCTATTGTGTGTTACAAAGCTTGAAAAAATAACCACCCTTTTTTCTAGTCTAGGCCAGGGCTAGAAGCTCTTACACAAGTAATACTATCACAGATAACAAATGTAAAGAATTTCCCAAAACAAAGAAATCAGTAATTGGAATGCAACACTGTAGACTGCTGTACATATTTATAAAAATAATAGTTGTATATGATTGTGGAAAAACTAAGCAGACTCAGCTTAAACATCCTAATTGTGCCTAGCTGTTTTCAACTCCTGTTTCTGTAGCATATAGTTGAAAATTTTGTCAGCTGCAAAAAATTCCCCCTCCCCAAGTAGCCCTCTGTAATTTAAAATAATACGCTGCAGTTCATTCTGAGTCAGTGCTAGGATATGAAGTTAGAGAATCAATTAGAAACGATAGATCTACAAACAGAATACTGGTTTTCTTGCTACTGTACGTAAATCTTTACATGACAATTTATTACTGCATCTGTACAGTACATTACTGAACGACATTAGTACAAATCATAAGATGAACTACAGCTAACGAGCATTGTCTCTCTGCATTTTTCTGGCACAAAAATCCTGGATGTGCCTTTTACTAGTAAGATAATCTGGTAGGCATCAAAGCAATTTCAGGCACCACTAGTAATTCCTACAACATACTACTGAGTGCAGACAGCACTACTGGCATTATCAAACAGTAAAACGCAGAGTATAAAGTGTCAGTTTTTTCTGCATTCCTAACGGCCTTGATTTTGTGTCTAGTCAGCTTGTTTCCAAGGCCATAACACGGGTCTGTCTGTCCATGTCTTAAATATCTAAGGAGATAACTCTGTCTGTATAATAAAATATCGAGTCCATGCAATAAAAACCAATCAACCAAAAAAAAAAAAAAAAAAAAAAAAAAAAAAAAAAAAAAAAAGCAAAGCACAACAACTAATCCTCAAAACCCTTTCTGTAAAAGGCAGTGAAGTGGCAGGGGGAAGCCGCGGCCCCGGCAGCTCCCTGGGGGGCGGAGGGGCCGCAGCCCGGGCAGAGCCATCGGTTCCCGGGCAGAGCCATCGGTTCCCGGGCAGCTCCCGCCCAGGTGTCTCCTCGCTGGGGGGGTTCCCGTCTCCCACCCGCCCCCTCAGCGTTGCATCAGCCGCGGCCGCTCCGTTACGTGGTGACCGCGGCGGCCCCGCTCCTCGGCCCGTTCCTCGGCCCCGCTCCTCGCCCCGCACGGCCCCGCCCGGGGCGCCGCCGGACCCCCTTCCTGGGAGCTCACCTGGAGCGCCCGCACCGCCCCGAGTCCTCCTCGCTGCAGCTGGGGCACAGCGCTCCGCCGCCCCTCTCCTCCTCCTCGTCCTCCTCTTCCTCCTCCCGCTCTTCCTCCTCCGCGGCTGCCTGGACGGCCACTCGGATCTGCACGGGGCCGCTCCCCGCAGCCCCGGGCTCAGCCGGCTCCTGCTGGGCCATGGCCGGGCTCAGCCCGCCGGGGCTGCGACAGCCGCCCTCCGTCCCCTCCCGTCCCCTCCCGCTGGGGCGGCGCTCCCGGCTCCACTCCCCCGGCGGAGTCGGACCCTCCTCCAGCGGTGCTGTGCCCAGGCCAGCCGGGCGGCTGAAGTGGCCTTCTCGTTGACGACTCCAACGGGATTGCTTTTATTTCATCGGAAGACAACGCGTTCCTCGCCGGAGAGCAACGTCTCAGCTTCTCGTCGCCTGGTACAGCCCTGGGGCTGAGTCGCTGTGCCCCGACCAGAGCGTTGCGTTTTAAGAGATTCGGAAAGGTTTCGCTGGGGTAAGTGTGGTTTTAAATGCCGAGGATGAGATTTGGAAATAAGAAACACGAGTGAACAAGGACATGATTGGATACGTGTTGTTTTTGTAGAGCAGTCTGCTCTATAATTCTGTATGGTACTTACACAGAATAAAAACATTCCCCCTTAAGAACTAATTAAAATAGAGGCCCTTTTTCTGAAACGCTTATACAGTGGTTATTTTGAACTTAAGAATATTGCACTTTCTTTCAGTAGACTGTTTCAGCTACTAAAGTGAAGTTAACATTCATGTTCTGAAGATTAGAATCAAAAACTTTTCAATTTTCCATGTAAATATTCATTCTTCAGTCAGGGAAGATCTTTTTTTCAATAGTGTCTAGACCTAAACTGTCAAGTATAACTTGGATCTTGAAGTCACAACTTCATTTGTGGCATCTTTGTCTGTATTACTTCAGTGTTTTCTTAAAAATTTGGATGGACGAAAAGTGAGGCTGCACTTGGGGCCAGTTTCTCTCATCCCTGTGACAAACAGTCCTCATGAGTCAGGTTTGTTGGCACGGACACATCCTGAGACTGCTCTGCCTCAGTGGGTTTGGATTATTTTTTAACGTGCCTTAAGCAATGAAATATTTTGTTTATGAAATACACTGACGTGCATCACTAAGCAAATCTCTAGTTCTCTGCTAATGGGACATTCTGTAATATGTCTTGGGTAGGGCATCGCTTTGCTATTGATGTCAGTGGGAGCAGAAATACAAACACAAAGGGCACATTTTAAGACAGTACAGACAGGGACTGTGGGTCTGATTTTGCATGAGTTCGTGGGAGTTGTTTGCCTCCCTGGGCAGGCACAAGGTCAGGACCAGTATGAGCAAAGAACTGTTCTGTGCTGCAGCTGACCTCAGGGATTTACATGTTTTGTGACCAGTCTGTGCCCACAAGGCAATTCCCTGAGGCAGAACCTCAGGGAAGGTACATCCAGCTTCTTGTCCTGTCAGGGGTTTTCACAAACAGCCACTCGGATGTAGAATTCAGAAAAATACAATTGTAATTCAGTAAAAGATAGACATGGGGCTCCTGGAGTGGATCCGGTGGAGGGCAATGAGGGTGACTGGGGAACTAGAGCATCTCTCTTATGAGGAAAGGCTGCGGGAGCTGGGCCTGTTCAGCCCTGAGGAAAGACCTCATCGAGGGTTATAAATATCTAAAGGGAGGCATCAGAGGGTGGACCGGACTCTGCTCGGTGGTGCTGAGCAACAGGACAAGAGGCAACAGGCAGAAACTGAAGTTCCACTTGAACATGAGTAAGAACTGTACTGTGCAGGTGACCGAACACTGGCACAGACTGCCCAGAGAGGCTGTGGAGTCTCCCTCACTGGAGATACTCCAGACCCATCTGGACACAATCCTGTGCCACGTGCTCTGGGATGACCCTGCCTCTGAGCCGGGAGGTTGGACCAGGTGACCCACTGCGGTCCCTTCCAACCTGACCCGCTCTGTCAATCTGTGGCTCTGTAATAGTGTCTTTTCACCACGCGGGGGGAACGCGGTCCGGCACCGGGCACAGCGGGGCGGCCGCAGGGCGCCACGTCCCTCCCTCCATCCCTCCGTCCCCTCACGCTTTCCCGCCCCTCGGCGCCGCCCCGGCCGGCGGGCGGGACGGAAGCGGCGGTCGCCGCGGCAACGGCGGGGCCATTTCCGACAGGGCGGCGGCGGCGGCGCGGGGCTGTGCGGGGCGTGGGGGCCGTGGGGGCCGTGCGGGGCTGAGGGACAGCGGCACAGCGGCACATGGTGCCCAGCAAGGGCCGCACCGGCCGGGGCCCGCGGGCCGCGCCCGCACCGGTAGGTGCTGCGGGGGGTGCGGGCGGGCGGCGGCTCCCCCGGCGCCGTTTGTGTGTGTGCCCCCTGCGATGCGCTGGGAGGGGGTGTATGAGCCATTCGGTGAAGGGGTTCTGTTAATCGTTCTGGTTACTTCGCACGTAGGTGCCACGCTTTGTCATTCAAACCCAAAGACTAGCATGTTCTGCCTTTTGAAAAGAGGCGTGTTTAAATGCAAGCGCTTGTTTTCTTCGTGATGAGAATTGCATCCCCGTGGAAGTCGTGCTTTCAGTGTATTTTTAAAACTAAAAACAGCGTGATTTTTTTTTTTAAAGCTAAAAATTATTTAGTGTTGCTTAGTACTGTGCTGTGTTCTTCATAATATTTTTGCAAAATAGTTCCTTTCTTGACACATTTTGCTGTTGAAAATGCCTGTATTGTTACATTTAACTCTTGGTGTTGATATCTGGTTTTAACAAACGTAGTATTTAATTTCTTTTTCTTTCAACTTGCAGGTTAATAATTGTGGTCTTCAGCTGGTTATCCAGACCTCATCAATACCAGATAAGAGCAAACCAGTAATTATTACCTTTTCTTGGATAACTGTATGAATTAAAGCACTTGTATGATGCATACAAATTTGTATGCTTTCAGATAGGAATTACCTTTTCAGTAGTCATTTGTTCACTTATAATATCTAATCTATCTGATAGTATTTTAGTAATTTATTTCATCCTCTCAGGGACATCTAAAGTAAAAACAGGGGAATGTACTCTACCCTGCCACAAACTTTATATATATATGTACATATATATATATATGTGTGTGTTTTCTTATGCTTCTACCTGAACCCCTCTTTCTCCTGTACTCCTTACAGGGTGGGATTATTTTTCTTTATTTAGTCAACTACATATGCATGTGCAGGTAACTTCCATATTTTCATTTTGGTTTTCAACGCTGAAGCTTTTTTCCTAAAAGAATGAGTAAACCTTTTACTGGAGAAGTTATTATTTTTTTAAATAATTAGTAGAATTTCCTGAGAATCCTAGTTACTACTGAGGTTGTGTTTGTCTGTGTAGGTGTTATTTGCATTTGAAAACTTTAACGTTTGTCTTAAATGTTGTGTTACAGTTTGAATTCAGGATAAATAAAGAACCGTCATCTTTCCACAACAGACTTCTGCAGCATGATCTGGAAAAAAACTACTCAGGAAGACAAGGTGATATTCAGTAGGGTTTGCTTTGTTTTTCTTTTGTATCTCTGTTTTATTAACCAAACAGTAAAGAGAGATTGTGTCATGATTAGAATAGGTAAGAGTGACAGCTTTTCCTTCTTGCCTACAGTAATTCAATGTCATTACTGTTGCATGACATCCTTAACTTGCTGTCCTGGTGCAGATGTCTTTTCTCATCACATGTTTTCCCCTCATGGAAGAGCATTCTTTCTTCTACCTATAAAGCCACAACCTATCAAGTGCCCTGCTGTTCGTTCCCTCAAAAAGCCACACAGTTCTGTAACATTTTATGGGACATTTAACATCTTAATATATTTAGATGAAATTAGTTTCTAATTCAGAACCCCAATATGAAAAGGTAGTTTTCCTGTTGTGCTTGTGTGCTTTTGGCTTTGAAAAGCAAGATATTGGTGATATCACTGCTAACTGTGGTGAGGACTGGAAGAGCTTTGAAACAGCATTTCTTGACGTGCTACTGCTGCTTGCCTGTCATGTAAAAACAGTGATTGGCTAGGATAGAAGATCAATTTAAATATTATGGCTATTCTTTATTCATTCTGGTAAAAAATAGAGACCAGCAGCCACTCAGAATGGGTTGATTTTTAGGGATATTATGCAACTTATGGAGTAAATGTAAGTCTGCAGCTTGGTTTTGTTCCCTGCGCAGGAGACCAAAGAGTATTAAGTCCTTTGGTGCATAATAAGCAGCTCTGTCTCCCAGTCCCATCCAGTCTGACAGAACTGTCTGGTTTGGAGTTGAAGCAGAGTACAGGTTCTTTATCAGGATTTGGTGAGACTTCCATTCACACCCCTACAAAATCCAGATCCTTAGTTCACATGCTTCAGGTAACACTGAGAAACATCAGTCTCTCTCTCTTTTGCTGGGTGCCTTACCAGAAGTGTTCCTAGTGCTCTCTTTGGGTATTAAGAGAGGTTAGTAGGTCATTGTCAGGAAGCCACTAGAAATATTTTTCAAAAATGTAAGATAGGCATTTAAACAGAGGCTTTTTATAGATCTTTCTGTGATGAAGGGGACCTTTCACACATGTCTTTAGGAGGATGACAGTAGAAGGAAAAAGGTCACTTTACTGCCATCCTGTCGTGTTTCAGACTGATTTTTAAATCCCTGGTCTTATGTTTATTGGCTTAAACACATGTGACACAACTAATTTAAGACTTTTGCAACAATCTTGATTTTTTTTTTTTTTTTAGTGTCTCCAGTTTTTTTTTCTTCACAGTTGTTTTGATTTTGAAGGATACATAATGTTGCTAGAGTAGCTAGTGATAAAATGTTAAGAGTAGCACTGAAAAGATTCTAAGTTGAACAACAAATTGTTTTACTCAAATAGCGGTATATTTTAGACAGTAATGAACTAACTCACTATAGCAGTTGTCTTTGTTTGTTGAAGAATTAATGTTTTTTCTGTTAACATTTGATTTATTTGAAGGAAGAGAATAAAAAAGAAAAAAAGGGGCAAACACATAGATGTGTTAGTGGTTTAGTTTCTAGTTCTATCAATATCCACCTGATCTGTGTCTTTAAATTTATCTTAAGTTGGGAAATACCTTCTTTAAGTTGAGATTCTGAAATTATGAAACAATTGCACAGCTTTATGTTAAAACGTCACTGGGTAATTCTAATCAAAATAAAAGCGTCTACAAAATATCTGCTTACAACAAATTGCTGACCAAAAATCTCTCAGAAATAAAACAAAGGGATGTACTTTGGAAAGAGGATTTAGGGGGATATAGTTGAAAACAAAAAATAGCAGGAAAGAAAACTGATAAATCGTAGTACTGAATGGAGGCAAAAAGCACTTTGTATACTATGTAATGCTTTGTTCTTAATAAGCAAGAAAATTTTGCATTTAACACCTGTAGTTAATGAAATGCACTTGCAAAGAAGTAATTCATATGTTCTCTGTATGATTTTTCTAATAGATAACACAAATTTTGGGAGCAGTTCATCAGTAACATTTCCTGTATTGCAACGCACTGCTGAGGAAAAAATCCTGAACTCTGATAGACTTACCCTGGAAAGGTGAGAAGGTGACAGTGCACATGCCACAGCACACTGATGCATTTATATTTCAGATGTCAAGTTCTATAAACCAAAGAGAAATTTCATAGACATGGAACACTGAATTGTGATATCAACTGTCTGTTTCTATAGTATCTGATGAAAAACTTAAAAAATTGTGAGGCCGCATCTGTTGAAATTTGAGTGTGGTCACAACACAAAACTTCCATGTAGTTTCCATGTAACAAGCAAATCTCTGACTAAGAGGAGAGGAATTCAGAAAATTTTGGAAACACTTCTGCTATGTTTTCATGCTGATTTTTTAATAGGTAGGAGGAGTTACTTTATTTACAGACTTTAATTAGCAAACCTAATTACCTTCATGTTACCTTAACTAAGATAATATACTTTCCTCTGGTCAGTCAGAATGGGTGAGTTGAAGGTGGGTTACCAATTTGTTACTTACATGTGTGGTTTGGTTTTTTTGTTTCTTTTTTTCTTCCAGGCAAAAACTGACGGTGTGCCCAGTTATTGATGGGGAAGATCATCTTCGTCTTTTGAATTTCCAACATAACTTTATAACTCGGATCCAAAATATTTCTAATCTTCACCACCTTGTTTTCTTAGATTTATATGATAATCAGATCGAGGAAATAAGTGGGGTTTCAACTTTGAGATCCCTGAGAGTCCTTTTGTTGGGAAAGAACAGGTAAAAATAATAAAACTAACTTAAAGCACCCTGCTTCTTTATGGTGTAACAACTGTGATCTGTCATTGTTTCTGTTACTTACAGTTCTCAGTTTGTGATGTTGCTTTGAGACCATCCCTAACACTTCCTAAGGGATCCTACTGAGAAAGGACACAGCTTTTGTGTGTCATGTTCTTCAGAAACTTCCTTTCTTACATATATTTTAGCAAGAATTCTGAAGTACTTTACATGTATCCATCTAATCTTCTATTTTGATCAGCTGTTAAATATGTGTTCTTAGATTGGCGTGACAGATGGAATGTCTTTTCACATCAATTGGAGCATTCATTGATTATTTATAACCTACAGGAAGTATTTCTGCCTGATGTATTTAGCTGGGAAAAATACCAAGCAGATGAGTCATGAATTTGATGCTTACTTATTGATTCTGATCTTTAAACCTCTAATACTGATAATTTAATAGAAATATCTGTGGAATTGCTCGCGCACCTAAGGGCTGTGCTCTCATCTTGTTAACTTTCCTTATTTTCTTTATATTCAGTGTAGTGGGAAGTGGTGAACAAATTTCAATTATAAATAGATTATAAAGAATGTACCTCCCAATTCAGCCTGTATTCAAACCTGACAACTTTCAGTAGTGCAGTGTATTACTGGAGCTAATAGCTTTGGTATTAAAAATCTCACTTGTAGATATCAGTTTTGTTTATAGTAAAATACTGGGGCATGGGAACTATAAATTTAAGGTGAGGAATTACTTTCCATATCATAACCAGTGCAGTGTAGCCTGTTTGCCTAGAGGGATAGTTTGCCTGTTTGTTTTGGGGATAGTTAGGACTAACATACTCAGGAGTGATTGATTACAGGTCAGACACAGTTGAAAGCAACTTGTTTTCAGCTTGATCTGTATGTGATCTTTGGTTACTCTTGAAGCAAATGCTTAACACACATGTGTGTAATATCATCAGCCAGTAGATGATGCTGTTGAGAATATAATAGCCTAGGTTTGGAATCTGAGAAAATAGGACAGGACAGAGAAGTTTTAAGAAAATGAAGTTGTTCAGGTAAGAAGACGTACTGCCAAACCTAGAGATCTCTCTTGTCTAGAAAGGGCTTTCAGGGTTTTTTTAGTTCTGTGTTCTTTTAACAAACTCTCAAAAGCCTGTGTCACTACAGTTTTTCATTAAAATGGTTTGAAATTAGCTGTTTACCAGTAAGATTCTTTTTTTAATTACTATTATTTAGGTATCTGGATAGGTTGGTTGTCGACTTTGTTTTCTAGGGGAGCAAGGATTCCTTCCTTTTTCTCTCTCTAGAAGAGCCACATACATACTGCTGCTATTGCATTATTGACAGTCAGGAAGGTAATAGTCTAAGGCATACTCATTTATTAATTTTTTTTCATGGTTCAGAACTTTGTTATTCTTCTGTTACTCTCGGTAGTCAGGAAAAAATGGCTAATGAAAGATACTTTTAATCTAATATTAAAAATAATCTATGTCGTAATTGAAATCTTTCAGAATAAAGAAGATCTCAAATCTGGAGAACCTAAAAAACCTTGATGTTTTAGATCTCCATGGAAATCAGGTATAGTACAATAACTTGATTACTTATTTTTCTTGTGTAGACATCACGTGTGTGCTGTGCCTTTTACTAAAACTATTGTTTCTTGAAAGGGAACTGGTGGCAAATTTTTCAACTTTTGAGGTCACAGAAATAAGTAAATTAATAAAAGGGGACATGGTGTTTATTTTGAATCTTTGTATTAAGTCTCTTGTAATTCCAGCCTTGTACTTCAGGAGAGTTTCAGCAGTTAAAATTGAGTCCACTGGGTGTAATAACCCTCACACCTACACAATAGTCATCTACCACAAGTATTTGTGGTGCAGTTAAAGTAACACAGTCTTGGAAGTCATATAAAATTTTAAGATCCCATTGATTGTTGTGTTGTTTCTACTGTTGGTGGTCTTACAAAACCAGATCCCTTACATATATGTGGAAGACTTAAATTTGTGCAGGAAAAAGCAGAGTGGGTCTGAGCTCTTCGTTGATTCGTGCTTGTGAAGGGACTTAGGTCACTTAACATCTGTTCAGGTTCTTCAATTTGATACTAAGCAATCATTTGTGCTTCAAGGGGTGCAGAAAGCTTTAGCTGTAGTACATGTAAGAAGATTTTTTGTTTTTAATGGGTACGTCAGAAGCAGCACGGAGTATCAGGGGCAAGCTGGATATAGTATTCTTTGTCAAATAAATTCAAACCACGTGTAATACAAAATGTCCCATAATTCAGATGTTTAAAACAACATGTGGTTATTGTGACTGTATAGGACCAATGTGTGAGTTCTCTGCATTCCTCTTTTGACGGTTTTAATGTCTTACTGATTTCTCTGTGTGTGTTTATTCTACAATTGCTTGACAGTGAAGAGTGGAAATGCTTTAAAAAAAAAAGACAAAGACAAGCCAGCACTATAGGGAGTTATTGTTAAAAGTGCTGCAGTAAGTTTGGGGCTGCATTGAGTCACACCAGGCAAACAGTGTGTGTGTTAGGCAGTGGCAGAGGCAGTCTAGGACCAGATGGTGACAATGCCCTTGGAGTCTTGGCCATCTCCAAACGTGTTCATTCTAAGGTTTTGTGTGGTTATCATCCTTTTCTTACTGCTGTTGGAAATTTAAGGGGAGTTATGTTTTTGATAAAAATACTTGCAGATAAAGCTGTGCCAGTCAGCACACTTTCACAGCACAGAAGAAGGAATCACTGATGGAAATGAAACACATCATGCACAGCTCTTACAAGTTACTGTGATGTAGATTGGACTTGTTTTTCCCCCCTTCCTTTTTTTTTTTCCCCTTCAAGTATCTGTACAACTCTCTTTACATTAATTACAACTTCACTAGGAGTTGTGGGCATAGTGCCCAGCTGGCTGTTGCTAGATCAGCTTCATAATGATAGTCCTACTTTGATCCAGAGAACATAACAAACTGACCTATGTAAGGAACTAATACTGTGGAATATAGTAAGTTATTTTGGTTTTCAGAATGTTTGAATCATAAATGTATATGTGAAGGGCACAAATGTTAAAAAATGGAATTGGGGGTTTTTTGCATTTTTTTTGGTGGGTTTATTGTATTTTTTTTCATGGAAAGACCTAATAAAGACTCCAAACTTCATTTCTATTAATAAATTACCTTTTTGTTCCTTTCCAGTTTAAAGATATGCAAGTTATCCCGTTTAGATTCTTTTTTCCTGTCTTTGAGAAATTCAAAATTTGAAACACCAGTCTGCTGTACATAGTATTAGTTCTTTTTGAAGGCATAATGAAGGGAAGAAATGCTGGTGTATCTGCTTAGTGTATTAGTGCCCTGTTTGAAGGCTGTTCTTTGTTGTTGTTGTTTGCTTATGTAACAGTGAATAAGGGGCTCTTTTAACTCTACTTAAATTTGTGGTATTTTTATTTAGGGCAGCCTTCTAGTCTATCTTAAGAGATATTTCTTCTACATTGTAAATTTTTGAAGAACAGATTTCAACAGCAGAATTGGCTGTGAGAACTTCAAAATACGGTTTCCAGTGTTCCAGAATGTAACAATTTAAAAAACAGATCAGTAAAATTAGAGCCAGCCTTATGTCAGTGGTGTTCTGCAGAAGGACAACAATCATTGAGCATTGTTAATTATGCTCAGAATCATTTCTATGTTCCCAAGTGATCCCAGATGATCGTTGAACAATGACCTTGTGTCCAAGTTATAGTAAAGTATTGGAAATACATTAGGCTATCAAAAAATGTTAGCTGTTTTCATTATACACAGTAGTTCTATGTAAGATGAGAGATCTCAGTGGGCATCTGAGTAGATTGTTGTGGTTTAACCCCAGCCAGCACCTAAATACCAGCAGCCCCTGGCTCACCACCACCACCCCTCCCTGCAGTTGGACAGGGAGGAGAATCAGAAAAACAGGTGAAACCTGTGTGTTGAGGTAAGAACAGTTTAATTGGATCAAATTAAAATCCAATTCTAAAGATAATAACAGTAATTGTAATGAAAAGGAGAAAGAGAGATGACTAAAACCCAGGAGAAAGAAGAGGTGAGCAGTTAACTGCTCTCCACATCCTGACCAATGCCCAGCCTGTCCACAACAGGGAACTGGCAGTTCCTGGCCAACTCCCCTCAGTTTATACACCAAGTGTTTCATGGCATGGAATGTCCCTTCGGCCAGTTCAGCTCAGCTCTCCTGGCTGTGCCCTCACAACTTGTGCCCCTGCTCATTGGCAGAGCATGAGACACTGGAAGGCCTTAACTTAGGGAAAACACTGCTTAGAATAACTGAAACATCAGCATGTTGCCAACATAATTCTTGCACTAAATTTAAACCAGCACTGTAACAGCTATTAAGAAGAAAACTAACTCTATTCCAGCTGATGGGGAATATAAATACTCAAATAGGACGTGTCCAGAATATGAATATTACTAATTTTATTTATCAAAAATAGTTCTAGAGCCTAGCTAGAACTTATTTATTCTTGTTAGTGTTCATGAAGTAGTAGCAGTTAAGAGGAAAGCTGGATTCATGTTTTAGTCTTAGTCCCTCCCTTCCTCTCTCTGGGAGTGTAAATCAGTCCTGCAGATGGAATGCAGATTGGGAAGCTTCTAAAGATGTAATGTTTCCAAAAGGTTGGAGGTGAGGAAAAAGAGAAGGAGAAAAATTTCATTTTTGTTGACTTTTGGGAAAGTATTCTGGTTTATTTGCATGCTGGGTTCTTTGGATGATATGATTTGCTCAGAACTTAGAAACTTCTCCTGCCAAGTGAGAAATATGCTGGGAACCAGATGTACTTTAAAACATTGAGGTATAGTATTCCACAGTGCTAAATGATAAACCTTGTATGATTTTTTTCTCTTTTTCAAATCAAGTTTTTAAATGCATTATACTTAAAAAAATCTCTTCATGTAATAAGTGGTCAAAAGAAAGTTAACCCCCACCCAGTGTTATGTCTAATGAAATACTGCACTTAATGCATATGCCTCACAAAAATGACAAAATATGAATTCTTTTGTCATACAACTACTCTTTACCTGTGTTTCTACATGATTTATTAAGGCTCTTGATATTAATACTGCCCAGTAAAAGTTTGTAAGAATACAGCATTTTAGTACCACTGATTGAATTTTCACATAGAGACTCTGTTTCTATGATTAACACACTAATATGGACACAGGATACTGCATCATTCAGGGACCCTACTCAGGAATTTTATTCTAGAATGCTTGAAGTATAAAAAGTCATTGGAGTAATTTCTTGTGTTCTGTTTAGTTCTGTGAGTTACTTTTCTTGCCAAAAGTTCAAGATATAAGTAAAAGGACAAATAACAAAACCTGATTTTTTCAGACGTGAACTTCTTTTCAGGAATCTCAGAAATGTTTTTTAAAAGATGCAACTTTTGTGCATTTAATTATTTGTGCAGTTTAATTATTAATGAGTGATTATTGAGACAAAAAAACCTTCTTCTGAGCTCTGTTTCATAGCAAAGTATTCAAAGGTACAAGCAAACAAGAAAACAGAAGTGGTTTTGTTCAGTGTTTACAAGTAGTCTTTGACTTGTATACTTGAAAAGGCAAATAGAAATGGTTAACAATCCTTTTTTATTTATAATTAATAGAAAACAGACATAGATATAATTTCTTTACGATATTATCAAAGTGTTACTTGAATCACCCAAAAAAAGGTGATAATAACTTGTATTATTCCATATCTAATAGTATATATGAGAAGCTGGTGTCCCTTCATGTGGGCATGAATAATTGAAACAGGAAATCCAGTAGAGTTAATCTGGAAATTTAGCAAAGTGTGAGAGTATCTCTATACATTGCTGATGAAATCATTATCTTTGCAGTAGCAATAAAATGCCAGGATTAATATTCCACCCTGTGGCATGCAGTAATTCTGGCTAAGCAGATATCTGCAGAGGTCTGTGCTCTTCGTGCCAGCCATCTGCTCTCAGCATTGCTTTTACAAGTTTTTTTTTTGTCTAAATATATTCTTCTAAATGGTGGCATTTTCTGTTCCTCTTGCTGTAATACTTTTGTATCCTGATAATTTTTTCCCCTGCATAAAATGCACGTAAGTGGATAGTTTAATTAGCACTTGAATCAAAAGCAGGCTTAGGATGTTATTTAATTTTGATCTTGGTGTCTACTTTGGTGTGTTTTTTAATAGAAAAATTGCTGAAGTACTGTTTATAGCAGCATATTCCAGTCATATGCCACAGACATATGTGGGTACATACATGAAAATTACCAACTCAAACTGTTAAATAATAGCTGCCTTGCCTCTTCTATTCCAGGAAGTGTCAGGAACTTGCTGTAAACTGGCACAGCCAGGGCTGTGCTGGTCTAAAGCCCCAGGAAGTTCACTGTCCCTGGGAAGGTGACACCAGGGAAGGTGTGCCCGAGGACTGGGCGTTGGAGGGGGCTTGCAGTGGCCCAGCAGATGATCATTCTCCTTGAAAGGGACAATGTTAGGACATTGTTAGTAGCTCTGTGCCCTGTATCCTTGGATGCACTGCCCCACAGGGTGGCTGGCTGGAGTCTTTTCCACAGGAAAACCTGCTGCCTTTTTGCCACACAGCACAGGTTTCACCAGGAGTATGACAAGCACATTCCCCATGCAGTGGCTGTGCTTCCCCTTCTCCTTGTATGCAAGTCATGCATAAGTGTCTGCATGGGGGCTGGAGGACAGACCACTGTGAGAAATCTGCATAGACAACCTTGTGTGGATCACTGAGGAATACTAACAGCAGGGAGGGAACCCATATTGTGTCACCAGAGCAGTAATCAATGCCTTTGTAAAACACAATTGTTTTTCCAGAAGTTAAACATAAAATTAAGGATCATTAGCTATTTTTACTCTTTTTATTACTTTTTTTTTTCATTGTCACCTGAATCTTTAGAATAGGGTATAAAGTATAAAAGCAAACGTCTGGCAGCTGCCTGTTTACTGTAGCTCAGTCTCTTTGTTTGATCCCTGCATTTTCTAATCCCAGGAAACCATGAGTTGCTGAAGTGCTGAGGACTGTCAAGCAGATGTGCTGTGTATCCCAACTAAGGATGCTGCTGCTTCTTTCCTAACTTTTGAGTATGTCTTTCTGATCCCAGCGATTACCTGCTCATAAAACTTCCTTTCAAGCTGCAATTTCAAATAGTTGTTTTCTTCTTCAGAGGCTGTGGGTGCTACTGGCCCCTGCCTCACAGCAGGTGAGGCATGTCCTCATGACCTGCTGCAAAATCTGTCTGTGGAGCCCCTGTAGATAGAGCTGTGAGTGCTGCTGCTGACTTAAAGAGTCATGAAGGGAAATTGGTGCAGAGTTCTGTGATGGTGGGAAGGTAAGATGCTGCTTATTCTTGCAGCATAGGCACCAGGAGATTTGTTTGAGTGTCTCTGCAGACAAATTAAGGGTGAACCATGCACAGAATTTCCTTATTTCAGCATACCTTGGTATCATCAGTGTTGTCTTGGTTTTATGGTGTCTTTGAGATTGCTGCTGCAGAGCAGCACAGCTGAAGTAACCTGATTTCTGATGGCAGGAAGGAAATGTTGACTGAGGTTTACTGCAGCGTGGCCAGAAGGGTATTGGTGAATATTCATTCTGAGTTTCTGGCAGACTGTAACTTGTTTTCAGCTGTTGGATATGAGTGTCATGGTTTATGAAAATCCACAAGCACAGTATTGCATTAACTCAATTGTTCATGTTTACTTTTTTTACAAAAAGTATGTGCAATGTGTATCTATTTTATATCCATTTAAACCACAGTGAGCATCTTTATCATACTCTTTCACAGATTACTAAAATAGAGAACATCGGTCATTTGAGTGAGCTGAGGGTGTTAAACCTTGCCAGAAACCTACTGACCATTGTAGAAAATTTGAATGGACTGGATTCCCTCACAGAGCTCAACCTTCGTCATAATCAAGTCTCTGCTATAGTAAGGAGCAAAACTCTTTCATTTTTCCTTTTTTTCCCCTTTTCTTTGATTTTGACAAAATGCACTATAACTTCTTTAAACCGTATCAGCATTTCAGATTTGTGAAATCTTGTGTTTTCCTGTGTTGTGTCACTCATGTTTTTCTCCTGCAATATTTCAGTTCACAACATCAAGGTGAAAAAAAGAGAAATTAATTTTTGGTGTTATTGTCTTTAAATGTGATCAGGGAGGCTGGACTTAGGTGGCCTTTAAAGATCCCTTCCAACCCAAACTTTGCTATGATTCTATGATGACTTGTAGTGCTTCAAATTTTGAAATCTCATGACGTTTCTCTATCAGGGGGGTAAAAAGAGTTTCTGGAGCAGATTTGTGGTCTGCATACAAATTTAGATACTTTTCTTCCACACAATTTTGTTTTCTAGAAACAGTCCCAATTTCTGTAGTTTAGCTAAGCAGTCAGATCATCTTAAATTTCATGATCTTAAGAATGTTTCTGAGGCAAATGCAGAGAAAAGAGGTATTGATCATAAAAGCAGAATTTCCCAGTTCAAGTTTCAGCCTAGCATTGTAAGTCTTCATGTTCTAAAAATAAAGTTTTTCACTCCGCAATTTGAGCTGTAGTTCAGGTATGGCAAGTACATTCTTTGAACAAGAGCCTTTTAAAATAAAACAGTATTTATTTATGGCTTGTATGGCATTAAAAGCACGAATCTATACATACCATGAGCTATGAAACAACTACTTATTTCCTTGTTGTGAATTAGGGACACTGTTTCTTTGAAAGACTGATCTACTTGTTTGCTTTGAGGTATTAAAAGTTTAGAATTTTGGATTTTGTCACCTTCAACTTGATCTTAGACTTGAAGGAGGACTGCTCAAGGTGTTCACCATCTTTTCACAAAAGAGCTCCTGCCTTCTATGTCTACTGCCCTATAAGACTTTGTATAAAAACTGAAGTAACTGGAGGCTTTTTTTTTTTTAATAATCCTACCTAGTGTTTGCTGTCACACCTGTGAGACTTCCAACATATTTTACAGGGCAGCAACATATCATTTTAGTTATGGGAATTTGTCTTCTCCAGTGATTAGTTGAAATCATTGCTGCTAAAGAATTATCATGTGCGACCCTATAATGCCTGTCTTCATGTGTATGTCCACTGATGTCATGTGTGCCCACCCCCCCTTTAGGCATCAGCACTGAGTAGCCTTAGGGCAGAGGGGATGTCCAGATGTAATTCTCTTGTGAACTCCAGCTTTCCATGGTCTGACCTGTGAGGATTCAGAGCAGCTCTAACCAGGAGTTTTGCAGCTGCAGACTTGACCACGTAAGCCCTGCTCGCTGTACCCAGCAGGGACTCTCAGCAGCCCTTGGTAGCTCACATTTGGGGTTTCAGTAATAGCAGCTCCGTGGTTTGTTTAGAGCTGCCTTTGTTCACCTGTTTGGTTGGAATGAACTGGTTCTGGAATGCTCTGTAGATGTGTCACAAATCTTATGGAGGGAGGAAGAGCTCTAGATTTGATCGTGTGGCCAAAATCAAGGCAGGGAGCTCTGATGCTCCTTTCCATTTCTGAGCTTTGTGTCCCCTGGCTTCAAGCAGGGTAAGGAGATGCAGGCTTGGAACAGAGGAGTTAGGTGTGCAGGCTGAATGGTTTGAGTCACTGCACACTGTGATATCTGTCTGTTATGGGTTTATATTTCACAAATGAAGTTACTTGATATGTTAAATGATATTACTTGATACGTTTCATCTTACTAATATTTGAGCTATTTGCTGTTTACAGGTTTTCTGCAAAGGTCTTTAGTGGCATATATTAAATTTACAGTTGCTTATTCTGGAAGCTCGCTCCTTTTTGAAAATGTTAATTGTAGAGGTTGTAAAGGTGACAGAGTCCTTCAGATCATTCTCTGACAGAAGAGTCACTGCTGTTTGGTGGTGCTACTTGCACTGCTGTATTGCACTTCAAAAACCTTATTTCAGCAAACCTTTTTCTTTTCTTTTTTTTTTTTTTTTTTTTTTTTTTTTTTTTTTAGCGTGTTTATCCTGCAGCTTAAATGCTGAGACAGCACCCTGGCTTGTTTCCCAAAAGCCTGTTCAAAAAGCAGCAGCAGCCCTATCTTCTTTTTCTTTAACATCATTTGCTTTGCAAGTGATGCAGCGTGTTCTGCAGAGTGGGGATCTGCACTGAAACACTCCCTTGCAGTCTGCACTGGGGAGAGATGGAGCTGCACCTTCAACAGAAATCGATGTTGCAGCAAGGTTATGGCATCCAGAAATGAAAGTGTCTCATCAGGCCAGGTAGAGAGGTTCAAAAGCTACTTCAGCTACTGAATTTGTGCCTCTATCTCTTCCTTCTAGAAAGATGTGGATACTTTGCCCTGTCTCCAGCGTCTCTTCCTCAGCTTCAACAATATATCTAGGTAAGGGAAATAGTAGTTTGCTTCCTATCAGTAATTTGAAATATCCTATTGGAGCTGTATTTCATTACAGTTAAAATTCAAACACTGTGAGTAAAGATACTTTTCTTCTCCCCCCTAATATATCAGATAACATAACCAAGCCATTGTGTATTTTCTAATTTAAACATGAAAATTCTTTAAACCCTTTGCATTTAAATGTTAGTTGTACTATGAGTATTGTACCAAGAAACATGTATTTTTAATTTAAAAATGATCATACTGTTTATAGGGGTCAAAATTAGACGTGGTTTTGTGAATGTGTTGTTTTACTGTTAACCTAGATGTCTGTTAGAGCAACATTATGCAAGGTACAAATTATGCCTAAAATACCATCCCTGTATTTATGGAGTTACACAAACTGCTGAGTCAGATTCTGCTTACAATGGGGAGATTATGTCATGCTTGTATTTTACTTTTCCATATATTAATAAAGTCTGAAAGGTATATTCATGGTTCCCTTTCAGACCAGATGCAGAAGCAGAATAGCTCAGTTCACAAAGCAGGTCTTCTATAGTTTCAAGTAACTAAGGGCATTTTGTTATAAATAGAACCGTTTGTCTTCTGTGCCTTTTCATATTAATGCATTTTTCGAGTCTGCCTTTATACTCATGCCAGTATTTAAACAAGAAAAAGTGCCTGCATTATCTTCAGTTTGGTATGTCCTTTTTTTAATCCCTTGATCACCAGCAGCTTTCTTTGTTTAGAATCAAATAATTGAATGTGGGGTAGGGGAAAGAGGCTTCATGTTCTAATTACTGGAAATGCCTTGCTGTTCTTGTGCTATCTGCTTTCCCTGTAAAATGTTGTGCTTAGTGTGGGCTTTTATTGTAACAGCTACTCAAACATTTCATGCTGACCTGCATTATGTTTTTTGCAGACAGCTCCAACCTACTTGTCTGTGTTCCTTAGGCTCTTAAAGTACAAATGCAGTACATCATCTTAAATACTCATGGCTATTAAGCACTTTAAAAAAAATTCAAAGGTGAACTGCAGGGATCTTTAATATGCTCTTCCCTTAGTTAATTAGCTAGCCTTTTTATCTTATGTTTTCAGTTGGCATAATGAAGAGGAGGGTTTAGCGTTTTGCTTCTCTTGAATAATTTCCAGAATTGAGACTTGCCTTTTGTTTCTGGTTTTCTAAAAAAAGGTCTCAGGTTGGCAAGAGCAAGGAGGGGACTGCAGTAACTGCCTCCCTTGCTGTCGGGGAGCATCACTGCAGTCAGTGCAATTTCCATCTCTTTTTACATACTCGGTATATTTTGTGTCTCTTTCTGACTCCTTTCTCAAATTGTTTTATGCAAATTCCTGGTATTTTTACAGTGTTCAAAGAAGGGAAAATGTTCTGGTTTTTTCTGTGAGGTTTTGAAATAAATTTCTCAAAGTTCATGTGATCAGTAGCTTGCTTCTTCGTCCTGTATCATAATTTTTGTTATTTATTTATCGGGGCTTCAATTGAGCTATTAATAAATCAACTCAGTTTTCATGTAAGCTAGAAATATTTATTTAGAACATGTGTGCAAATACATAATTTAGTTTTAATTTTCAGTTGGAATAGGTATAAAACCCCTTAAGGTTAAACAAAAGACTTTGCTCTTCTATAAATTTTGTGCACATATGTGGGTAGATAGGTGGATGGATAAGTTTAACTCTTTATTTACTAGTCATTATTTTAAAACAAATTAAAAATTTCTTTTGAACACATTTAGCTTGGATTTTTTAAATAGCAAACTTTTATTACATATTGCAGTTCTGAAGGCTAAAACCCCCATTAATTCCTGATTTTGAGTTATGTAGTAGATCTGTCCTCAAGCAGGAAAATGATTAAATATACAAGATATTCTTGACTGTCTGTTTTTGATGCTTGGCTTGATACTGTTTGAACTGACTGAAGAAGTTCTATGTAACCATAATACTTGTGAATTGCTGTGCTCCATCTGAACATTCTTACACCCCTTTTAAATGATTTTATGTGCTTTTGAGTTTAATGTGTGCCATGTGGTAAAATGAAGAATTATTTTCCCTAGAAACAGCCACAGAATTTTCTTTGACAAGCAAATTGGTGCACAAATACTCTCATTCATTTATCTGTAGGTGCATAGAAAAAACCTGCAAGTGGAAACAAACAAAAAAATTGCCAAAACTTGAATATGTTTGTTACAGTTTCATGAAAATATTTTATTAATGCTCCTTTTTAAAAAATAGCATTTTTCAGGCAATGGTTCCGTGGAAAGTTTTTCTTGTTCCTGTTTTTGTGTGTCAACAAAAATCCTTGAATCTTACATTGACACACACTGACATATTGAATTAATATTTCAGCAGAAGACTCGGGAATGCCATTTAAAATTGTCACTATTTAAAGCATGAGAATCTATCGTGGGTTGAATCACTATTTTTTTTTTACCTCACGCCTCAGAGGAGGGCTCAGAATCCTGCTGCTTCTCTGCAGAGCAGTCAAGTAAAACAGGATGCATTGGCAAGATAATGGAAGTGAAAACCAAATGCTGTAGGAGTTGCTGCTGGTCTGAAACAAAGAAGTCCTGGTTTTGGCTTCAACCCAAAAATACTTAGCAGTTGCAAACTGAAAGTGTTCATAGCTGATGGCTGAAGGTAATACATATATATCTCCAGAACTATATCCCCCTTATAAAGAAGGGGTGGATATCCCATTTTGAATTTGTCTTGTGGTACAGGGAAAAGGTTGCAGAAACTTTTTCAGGAAAGATATGCCACTGGGATTCAGGAAGAGGGTTAGTGCTCATATTTTCAGATGTGACACTGGGAAAGACCGTTTTTTAGTCTTGAAAACAAAATACAGATTGTCACTGTTATGTTGCTGTCCAGGTCAGCACTTTGTTGGCTTTTTCCTTTAGCAAGTATCTTGTCTGGCCATAGGGGAAGAGATGAATACAAGCTCATGTAATAGTTTTTCTTCATTTGGTTGCTGACTTGGAAACCCAAGAGAAGGAACATTCTTAGCCTGATAAAAACAGGACCATACCTTTTTTTCTCAGCAGAATGAAAATTTGTAAATAGGTTGTTAAATGCTTGAACAAAAGCAGTGCAAGGGGAATGAAAGGTTGGCTGTGGTAACACCTGTTTTCATCGGTAGTTTGGTGGTTAGAAATATGAAAAAATCCAAGTTTTCCTCTTTGACTGAATGTTTTTTGAACATACAGTTCCCTCTCAGGTGTTTTATGAGACTGTAGTGAGTATGTTGCCTTCCTTCTCTATTTCAGAGCTTTTCTCCTTTATGGAACATGCTTTTAAAAAGCAGAGGATAAGTGTTCCTGTGTCTTGTGTGTAAATGTGTGTCACTGGTGGAGGTTGAGCTTACAACACTCCAGAATGCTCTGCTGTTTAGTAATTGCCACGTTCTCATATGAGGCAGGAGAAGTGGGTTTGCATCCCCTCTGGCAGGGGGAGAATTGGTTGCAGGACTCTGAGCATGAACACAAGATGTAAACCTGATCTATTCTGAAAAGATTTCCAGGAAACACTTTTTGAGAATTTAGCCCAAATTCACACTTTGTTTCTGTGTTGCTGAAACTACCGTTGTAGCAAAACCATTTTATCTAAGAGGAAAGAAGGACAGGAAGGAGAGATGGTTGCCATAGTTTGGTGGGACTCCTGCAGGAGAAGGTCTTTTGGAAAGGGAAATCAGACATTTCACTTGAGAAGGCTGAGTCAGTCTGAAGCAGCATCATCCACAGCTGCTTTGTATTTCAGCAGCGGGTTAAGGACTCCTTTGTGGTGGACAGAGGCTGCAGAGAGCACTGAGACGTGGCCTCTGGTTCCCTCGGGGTGGTCACCACGTGGCCATGTCACAGCAGTCTGTGTGCTGGGAACAGACAGCAGCTTGGGTGTACAGTGTGTCATCTGTTTGGTGAGTGTGTCACACGAAAGCTTTACTTGGTTTAGGGTTGGGATATCACTGTGACAAGTACAGCATATTAAGTTTTCTACATGGAGTTTCTGAAGCTCTGGTTTTTTATGTGTGTATACAAAGATGTGAAAATGGTTATTTTGCACTACTGCTTTCTAAAACTGAGCTGCCTATAGGGCAGCTGAAAGTAGGATAAAACAAGCACATCTGTTTTGGCTCCAGAATGAATGTTCTGGTGTGTTGAAGCAGTGAGAATTTCAAAGCACAGCAGTATGTGTAAGTGGAAGGTCTTGAAAACGCTAGCAAGCTTTCAACTTTCCTGTCACTTCCTGAAGAAATTGTTTTTATTAAAAATCTGTAAGTCATATGTAATGGCAGAAGTACAGTTTGGTTAAATGTTTAGTGGGAAGTACTTGGAATAAATATATTTAATGCTTTTAAATATATTTAAATTTTTAAATAGTTTTGAAGACCAGAAATTTTCACGTTTGTCAGGCAAAATCTCTTCTTATTCAATGGAAATTCAGTTGTTTTATTCTAACATGTTTAGAAGTTTACTAAATTCTGTGTTATTTGGGAAGAATATCTTCCATCTTCAGGACATGTTGAGTATGTATTTTAAGTAATATGTCAGCCTAATCTTCCAAAAATGTGGTTCCAGGAGTTGTTTTCTGGAGAGGAAACTGAATCTCAAAAAGAAGCAGAAAATGATAATCAAACTTGTCACTTTAACCACATGTACAGGACACCCAATTCTTCAGATGTGCTCAGCACCCTCACTGCCCTCAGCACAGTCTGGACATAGTTAATTTTCTGTTGGTTTTTAGGTTGTTCTCATACCCTGAGCACAAAGGCAGAGTATCTTCCTCTTTATTCTGTCATTTTTTTGCTGTGTTCATTGGGGGTAGCATGCAGAAACTCCTTGCCTGCTGATAATTGCATGATAAAAGCAATTGCCACTTTATTCAGTGCCAGTCTGCAGTGTGAACCTCTTCAGCGTGGATGATTTCGGATCCCCGAGTTCAGGGCGTACTTAAGGTTTGACTTGGCTTAAGGCAGACTTGACTTTTGAAGGCCAAAGTGCACAAGGCTGGGTGCACAGTTGTACATTCATACATTGAAATCAACTTCTTAAAAGGTGTTGGAGAGTCTTATTTATTGCCACAACTGTGCAGCCTTTTTTAAATCCAGTTAAATAGTTCTCTGTCGTTTGAAAATGCTGTTCCTCTGAGCTGCTTTCTTTTCACATTCCATCATCAGTGAAAGGAGCATGACACAGGCTATACATTTCTAGATGTAAAATTTCTAAATTTTACCCAGGCCAGTTTTGTACTGGCAGGTAATAAAGCCCAGTGTTGTCTAAGAAGCCAAGTTGGTGCTGTTTGTAGACTGAACTCAGAACAATGTCCTGATCTGTTTTGAAGATAATATGCTTTTGTAGTTGTTTCACTTCCAATATTAATCATGTTGCAAACACCAAGGATCATTCTGTGGTGTTTGTGGTTGGCTTTTCTCCTTGTATTTTCCATGTTTTTTATGCTGCCTTGGATGGCAAATACACCTTGTATTATTTTTTTTGGAATATGAGTTGATATGTATCGTATTTTAGAGGGGGGTTTGATGAAACTGTGCTTCCATAGTTAACAAGTTCTCCTTATTCTGCATCTCTTTATTTATATATGAAGAGATAAACAAGTTTAACAGCAGCAGCTGTTGGTATTTCAGAATACTTATAATTGGATTTATCATACACAGTATTGATGGGTGGGGGTTTTTCAGTACCAGTAAATATTTGTTCTATCCTTAAGAAATAAAATCTTCCATCTCAAAATTCTTCTTACTCTATGACATTAAAACTTTAAACTTTTTTGGTTACAGTTTTGAGGATATTCTGTGCCTTGCTGATTCCTCATCTTTGTCAGATATCACCCTTGATGGCAATCCAATAGCTCAGGAGACATGGTACAAACACACTGTTCTCCATCATATGATGCAGCTCCGACAGCTAGATATGAAGAGAATCACAGTAAGAAATTTCTGTTTTCATCAAACTTAATAGATCCTTAAATTCAGAAGTAAAATTTAGGGTTTTCTGTGAATATATGTATATTGAGAATACATTTTATTTTTTTCTTAATTTAGCATGGAATTGAATGGTGCATAGGCATTACAATATTTAAAACTTTAACCTTTTTTCTTTAGTTCAGTATAACGTAAGGGTGTGGGTTTTTTACTTCAACTTAACGTGTATTTTGAAGTGCTAAAACTTTTCAGCAGTAAATACTGTGTGTTCAGTTGCCACGTGACGTGAGGGAGTCTGCAAAGTTTTTATTGTATAGGTGAGAAGGAGCAGCATATTCCTTCCAAAGGAATGGTCTGTTTGCCCTAAAATTGGTGTAACTGGTATCTTCTTTCATTAAGAGTTTCATTGGCTTCTTAAATCTGCCTCCCTGAGGAAACCTGGTGATCACACACTTTGTGTGCCTGTATTTCTCCTTTTCTTACCTGTCCTGCTCTCCCAACTCATTTGTGTTTCTGCTGCTCAAGTCCAAATAACCTTGATAAGGGAGAGAGGACTTGCAGACAACTAAGTCTCCTACACTCTGAAGGGCAATCACCAAGGGTCTTAGAATCACCTATTTTCCCTTTTAATAAAGGAATAGCCTTGCTAATTCTGTGTCTACTCAAAAGTGGTGTGTAAGCATGGCCTTACAAGAGAAATCTATCCAGCAGTAAGCAAGTGTTGCAGTGTTATCTTTTTTGACCACATACCTTATTTTAAATGCTCATTTGCTTTGTACAAAGGCTGTACTGCATTACAGCAGCTGTTGCTTTGCCATGTATCCTGTTGTCCTGCAGCCAATCCACCACTAGTATAAAATAGAGCCAGTTAGAATGTAAAATAGAACATGTATGTGGAAAACATGAATTTTAAAAATAAAGTGCTTGGGACATGAGAGGTTTTGCTCCCAGCATTGAAAATACTTAATACTTGTTTGCTCACAGATATTCTGTGTGTTGGGATTTTTTATATTTTGTGAATTTATACTGACTTAATTGAATACTTGGTAATTAGTTTGCTTTTAAAGGCATTATTTTGTCAGTATTATTTGAGCAACTTGATCACATAATGAAAATCTCTCTCCATCTTGCCCCCCTGCTCCGCCCTTCTCAAGAGGGGATGATCGTGGTAGAAATCTCAGTGATGGGAAAAACTGTTAGAAAGAGCTCAAACTCCTTTTTAGACTCTATGGGATCTGAATTGGGAAAAAGTTTTTAGAAAGGCACAGCCATGGGAAGAACTTAATCTGGGTTTGCACCTTGTTAAACATCAGAGAGTGAACCACAAAGACAAAAAGCCATAGAAAACCAGGCTTCACCACTTCTGCTGCTCATAAACTTACTTGTAAAAATAATGTGCTTTGCATTCTTTATTTGCCTTCTGGTTTTGAGCATTTTAACATTTTCCTCATATAGAGGGTGCTGTATATTTTCTCCAGTAAAAACTGTGTTACTCAGATAATCATATGACTTAAGACACTGGGATTTAGGGAAAAATAACAAGTATCCTGAGATGTGTGATAAAATTTGAGAGTTGACAATCTCAAATCCAGCTGTTCTGCCTCATAATGCAACATCCTGTGGCCACCACCTGTAAGGGTAGGTATTACTTGGAGGGGGAATGAAAATACAGCTTTGAGTATGTGCTTTTTCTCACTCAAGTAGTGAACCTAAACTCTAATTATATTTGGATCTTTTCTTCATTAACCTGAAAAGTGCCCAGATCATTTTGAACTTAAGTGTTGCTTTGTCTTGTAACAACCTGAGAGTTGAATGGTGGTGGTTTTTTTCTGACTAGGAATTCTTTGTTAACCTTTTCAGAAGATTTTCTGCTCAAGAGCTGAGTTTTATGCAATTTTTACTTCTGCTTTTAACTTTTACCTGCTGACTTCACCGGGACAGGAAAATTATTTCAAGAAAAAATAAAATCTTAAGGATATTTTCAAAACTTTATAAGAGATCTAGAAGCTTTATTCACATTGGGTTTCAAGAAGACACGTGCTCTTTGGTGCCAGGCCTTTTCCATAGGATTCCCTGGAAAAAGGGAACCTTGGTGCAAAAGTCTGGTGCTAACTGTCTCTGCCTTAGGGAACTGTTCAGAAACGTAGAGCTGCTATGAGAATCAAATACACTGCACTTGGAATAAAACATTTTTGCATTGTAATTGTTCTAATACTGCTTAAGTCAGGGCAGATTTGCCTTTATTCAAGGGATTGTGTGGTATTATGGCAACTCTTAAACCCTGACCCGTGAGGAAGCCAATGTTTTCTTAAGACATCTCATTGCTAAGCCATTTTTGAATGTAAGATTGAAGCTCTCAAACCACTGAGGCAGGAACCCAGTGGTGGTGGCATCAGTGGAGGTTACACACCTACACTGAGTTTCACTGTGAGCCCATAAAAACTCGTTCCTTGTCCACGCAAGAAGATGGTTTTCAGCTGAAAAATCTGTCCACTTTTTCCATGGAAATATTTTGCTTTCTTGAGCTTTGGTAGATCAGTCCTAGAGACTTAGAGACTGGGGAGGAGGCTGAATTACCATGGCTGGACTGATTCCTCAGTGTCACTTGTGTGTCTCTCAGCTTCACCTTCACCTCACCTTTGTTGCAGGGTGATGGGACTGGATGAACGTTTTCATGGAATAGGCTTGTGAGGTTGAAGTGCCTTACAGTCAGGGCAGGCTCGGGCTGCATTTGTAATTATTTACTTTGGTTAAAGCACTCTAATGGTTGTTTTTCTGGGCACTGAAGCTTTTTCAATGTGTTTTGCAGTTTGAACTCTTCCAAAAGGGGGCCTACCCAGTGGTGCTTTTAGTTTAGCTGTGACCAATCTGTTTTCCTCCACTCTTTGGTAAGAGTAAGCAAATATTGTCTGCAGACATGTAATAAAATATCAAAATATGAATGAAATGAGTACATAGTCCTTACTGAGGAGTTATTTAACAAGGAACAGTTGCTATTCATCACTTCAAATAGACTTCCTCAAAAGAATTTGCTAAGTGTATATATATTTCTACATGTGTGTGTAAATATGATACACAGTGCATATTTCTTTAAAATGTGCTGCGGTTGCCAAATTGAAAGACAAGCTGTGTCTCTTTAAAAGTAAAATTTTGCTTCTTTTCATTGAGGTTTTATAGGTTTTGGATGTCTAAAGTAAGAGAGCTGTGTTTGGTTTCGATTATTTGCTTAGACATTTCATTGCTGATCAGGGAGTAGGTTCTACTGCTTTATCCAGAGTAGAATTTGTTACTGTATTCCATCACCACCATAAAGTGTTCTGGGTTTTTTAGGGAAGGTTCCCTTTTCTTTCTTTCCACTGGAAAATAAGATACTTCAGGAACTTCTACAATCATTATTCTGGATCATAATTCTTTCTCTTTAATCAGGTCTTGTGAAAATATACCAACTTAATGCTGAAAGTAAAAACAGAAGATGTAGCTCATTGTCGAATCATTCTTTAAGTGATATTTGACAGAATGTTTTACCAATAATTTTCCATGGCTATATTTCTACTGGAACTATTCTTACTTCATTCCTGTTTAAAATCAGGTGTACAAAACAAAGAGCAGTTTGCCTTCTGCAAGTGTGAGCTGAATGCTGGGTATTTTAAGTGTACTGCGTTGGGTCTCTCCGTGCCTTGAAAGTGCAAAGTATGTTCCAGGCCATTCTTCACATTCTCCATGTGGTTTTGATTACCTAAAATAGGTTTATATCAAGTAGACTATAGCTGTTTCTAATCTACAGTACAATTATGTGAATAATTATAAGGTAGGTGTACTGTGGTGATCAAATGCTGCGTTGCCTGTGTGCTGACCCAGCACCTTCTTCTCCTGTCACTTGTGTCATTTGTTGAAAAAGAACTTGTTTGCAGAGTATTAAAGCAGCAGTGAGGACGAATACGTGCGTTCCACTGCGGTCCCTTTAGGATTCTCCCCAACTGTTCTGGAAGAGCAGCTGTTGGATGTTTCCTCCTGGAACAGCGGCAGCGATCGGGGTGTTGCGGTAGCGCCCCGGTAGCGGCAGAGGGCGCTGTCGGCTCATGGAATTCGCGTGAGCTCGGGAATAACCCCCTGGAAAGGCATCCCCACCTTGTCCGGCAAGGTTTGGTTTAGAGACAAAACAGCGATGGAGCGTAACAGCAGAACAGTGAGGGGAAACAAGGAAAAAGGGGGATGGCTTCAGCTCTTCTGAAATTCTTTCTAAAGGAGAAGTGATGATAGTAAAAACTAATTGTGGCAAGATTATCTAGGGGTTCGTTTCCTGACTTTTTCAGTATTCTGGGGGATTTTTGTGGTTTTGAGGGGGATGTGTTTTTTTAAGATTAATTAGGAAATGTGTATGGATTTGAATTCCATAAAAAGTAGATTTGACCCAGTTTACAGCTTCCTCAGGAGAGGAAGAGGAGGGGCAGGCACTGAGCTCTTCTCTGTGGTGATCAGTGACAGGACCCAAGGGAGTGTCCTGAAGTTGTGTCAGGGCAGGGTTAGGTTGGATCTCAGGAAAAGGTCCTTCCCCCAGAGGGTGGTCGGGCACTGCCCAGGCTCCCCAGGGCAGTGGGCACAGCCCCAAGGCTGCCAGAGCTCCAGGAGCGTTGGGATGATCCTCTGGGGCACAGGGGGTGACTCTTGGGGATGAGCCTGTGCAGGGCTGAGGGTGGACTTGATGATCCTTGTGGGTCCCTTCCAGCTCTGGGATTCTGTGGCCCTTGATCTTTATTCAGATTTTCTCTATCCTTGTGCCTTAATGAATAATGAGTTAAACTGGGGTGTATTTTATTTTTTGGCTGAGCTAAATTCTGTTAAAAATAGTGGGGTTTAAATGTCTGTAATTAGGATAAACTCTTGATCAAGGAAAAAAAGTCTTATTCAGCTAATACTCATTAGGTTATAATTTGCATTAGTTCATGTCAATCTTTGTATGAAGACTGTTGGAGGGAGGGTACTGAGCTGACTTCATGAGGGCAGTAGACCTTCGTGTATGGAAGACAGAGTCCTAAAGTACACATTTGGACTGGATTAAGGGAAAACTTTGAGAAGGAAGATAGAGTGGGAAGAGCTTTGTGGAAGCTGAGAGAACTGATTTAGGGAACTTTGTGGATGGTTACCTTAAAGCTTGGGGAAAAAAACACCAACAGGTTGTTTTGAAAGGAATAAAATTAATGAAGGCTAATTTACCACAGGTGACTGTAATTGTGTTCTCTAGTTTTCACCTACTCCAGCGAGAAACACAACACTACCTCAGTTAGTTTGGAGTCAGATGAATGACCAGATGTTTTCTGCCAAACAGAATGGATAATTTCTGCTTCCTCTTCCTTGGTGGGAAAATTAGCTGACGTTTCTCTTCATTCTACATATCAATTTTATATAATCAAACTTGTAGGGAACAAAAGACACCAACCCTTAATTTAAGACTTCTAAACACACTTTAACTCGTTTGATATATTCAGTGTATTGAAAAGTCATTAGAGAAAATGAAGACACTGAAATTGTAAAAGCTTGTTTCTTTAGGAAGCCCAGTTAAAAGCATAAATACCAGGTCAAATTGAGAGATTTAATTAAAAAATTAAAAATTCCCGATACAAATCTGTCTTTCTAGAGAAAGATATCACTAATGTAGTTTGGTAGTGTCCATCCTTTATTTTAAGACTTTGGGGTTTTTTACTGAAAAGCAAACTCTACATTGGAGTACATAATTGGAATGAACAGCTATCATGAGAACAATGTTTGCAGTTCTTGAAGTCTTGAATTCTTGAGGAAGAGAGTATTTTGCATTATTACTGATTATTCATATTATATGCAATATATATGATATATTATTATATATAATGTTGTGTTTTATTATGCAATATTAATAATTATTCATATTTGTGCCATGTTACCTGCATGGGGTTTGTGTCATGATTTTCACAGCTTGCCCCTGAACCTTCCCATTCAGGTGTTGAGTTTCATTATGTGGTATTTTGTTACATTGCCATCTAGAAGGCCTTTTGTACCACTGTGTGCTTTCATTTTATTATTTAGATACTGGTGATCCTCTTTTAACGTGCACTAGTGACCTATTGATCCTTCTAACCTGGATTAATCTGTAATTCTGTGACACTTCCTGCTTGGAAATACCCTGTTCAGGAATAACTGAAAATCCCAGTAGCCAAGGAGGCTGCCAGCAGAACTTTGCCATCCAAAGGCTACAAGTTGCTTTCAGAACAAGAAAAAAAAAAAAGTTAAATTAAAAAAAAAATTAAAAATTAGGCTTTCCAATTAATGTTCCAGGGAAATTCTTGCATACATTTGGGTTAGAGAAGCTTGCTCTGGCCAAAACCTCATGCCTTAATCTGCATTGAGGTACTCCTCTTGTTTAATACACGATATTAGGATAAAAAGTCATGGAGGAATGATTTGGAAATCTGTTGTTTAACCACTTTTCAGAGTGATGCTGAAACCTGTGGTATGTCAGTGGGTTTCAGGGGGACCGTACACAGATCAGGGTAGGTCTGTCACATGAACCAAACTTCTTGTGCTTGGAAATTGTTCTATGCTAAGTGTGAAGTTCCTGTTTTGTTTTCCCTTCCAGTAAGCACTCACCCATGTGCTTAGGGGTTCTTACAGTCCTCTAAACATAGCATGTTTTATTTATGTAGAAATTTTGACATATCAATTTGTCTTCGTGGTTGATGATGCTTTCAGTTCATTTTTTGTTTGTTAATTTTGTTAACACATAACTTTTCCAGAAAATGCAAAGGTTAGGACAGGAGCTTTCTATTTTGAGGGAAATGAAAACACTTTTCATATGTTCTGGGAAGACACTTTAATAGAAATGCCCAAATGGCATGTGAAGTAAATCAAAATAAGTTAAAGTATGCTTCCCAAATATTTGTGTTGGAAGGAATCTACACTTTTTACTTCATAGTGAACATTTCTTTTGTTACTTGGAAATTATATGTTCTAAAAATACTGTGCTGTGAGAATGTTTAAACTTCTGTAAACAACAGGCATCCAACCTAATATGGGGGTATTGCAGTATCAAATTGCTGTACCAGGAAAATTAAGCAACTTCAAATTCATTGTTTAGGAATCAATGGCTTTCTTCTTGAGACTTCTGCTTGATTAGGTAATAATATTGAGAAATAATGCTAATTATTTGTTCCTTTTCTTCTCAAGTTGCCTTGATGATTGAGAGAAGGCAACCCCTGGAAATAGTTTTTAATGATGCAAATTAGTCTTGGATTATGATTAAGCATAAATAGAACCCAGGTTTTTTGCTGCATGCCTTTTCTTGCAAAAAAAGTCCTACTAATTGCAAAATCTGCTACAAAGATACCAAGATGTATTGCACTGTTATATTTAAAAATGTTCTTTTTCACTGTCATACTCGCCATTTGCTTTCTACTTTTTCAAAGGCCTTTACAAATATTACTTTTAACTTGGGGTAGTTATCTGTTTATTCTGTATACTTCTATAGTTAATAATTTTATTGTTTTACTAATACTTAGAAACATTAAAATGATAAAAATTCTAAAACGGTATCGAAGTGAAAATTTACATTTCAAATACCAACACAAAACCATATTAATGATTTATCAGTAATTACTTTTCAGAACCTGATTAGTTCCTGCTTTTAGGAATTTGGTTTTTTGGTTTGACCTCCAGGAAGAAGAAAGACGTATGGCCTCTGTTGCAGCAAGGAAAGAGGAAGAAAGGAAGCGTGAAAGCCATAGACAGACCTTGCTTAAGGTATTTCCTATGGATGTTCTACAGATTACAGCAATAATTTGTCTTCTGATATTTTTGTTGCTGAAGATCTTACGTATCCCAATATGCCTCTGGTTTTTTTAAACTCTCTTTTTAGAGCTTGAACAGTGCACTCCATGACTGAAACTCTCTTCAGTCAAATAGGCAGGTCGTACTTCAGCAAAAAACCCCAGTTAAATACATGAGTGTGACACATGTAAATGGGGGGCAAACGTCATTTTCCTAAATGCAGAGTAAAGAACTTTTCCAGTGATTTCAAATTCCTTGAACTTGGTCTCCCAGTGTCAGGTGAGTGCTCTGGCTGCAGCCACGCAGGGTGTTCTGAAGTAGTTTTTCCTTCGTTCTTTCCCGTTGAAGTTGTTCCTTTCTGCAGAAGGAGTGAAGCTGCCATGAGAGCACAGCCAGACTCCAGCTGTTGTCTTTGTCAGGAGAACACTTCTCTTTATCTCCCAGCACAGCTGGCCTGGTTAGTGCTGACACATGAGATGGAATATCCCGAGCAGGAGAGACCGAGGTGCACTCCAGAATACTCTTTCTGGGGCTGCTGAATAATGAGCTGTGTTCCTAATAGGAGACCAAAGTTCAAGGATCTGAGAGCATCCACATTCCATTTGCTGCATGAATATCACCATTTGTCTCCAAATCATTCTCCTCTGGAGAAGAAAAAAGTGCCTGAATTTTTTTGTCATCCAGTAATGGCTATACTGAAAACTCTTTCAGTTTGGCAGTCAAACAAGCAAACAAAAATGTTCATGTATGCATATTAAGTTTCCTAGGTAAAATAATATTTCTGGAAGGGGATTAGACTGAAAGTAGTTGCAGGAGGCTGTAAGAAGTTTAGCAAATGTATATAACTCTGAAAAATAAAAAGACACAAAATGTATATTAAAAAATTATATAAGCATATTAAAAGTATTTTTAAATTATTTTTAAAATATAATAATAATATAAAGTATATTAAAACCACAAGTCTTAAAAAATCCTCAAGAACCTAAACATATGAATTGGGGAAAAAAAACCACTTCATGTCTAGTGCCTAAGAATATATTTTGATTTCCTATATATTTATATCCATATATATTTTCTGTTTAAAAAAAAACAACAATATAATAAAAAAGTCTTAGATACAGTTTTGGTTTTTTGAGGTGTTTTTTTAAGCAGTGTTGTGGTTTGGGAATTTTTGTGGGTTTGGAAATGTTTTTTTTCTGTAAGATAGTGATGTATGTAAAGTCTCTTCAGGTTGGAAGTGTTGGTGCCAGTTCTTAGTAGCACAAAGAAATGGGAAATTAGTAAATAATATTCACATGTGAACAATTTGTGCTGTTGGAAATATAACTGTGTCTCTGACTAGAAAAAAAAAAGTAGGTGTTTATTTGTAGTTCATGTTCTTAACTCTTGATGTCCCATTTCCTTATAGCAGCGGAATCGTTTGCTCTGATGGCATAGATTTCATGAGGCATTTTGCTAGTGGAAAATTCCCTTAGAAGAAAAAACTATTGTTAATGTGTAATGCCATTATTACTTGATTTCAGCATTAAATTGCAGTTCTTTTAATTTAATAAAGGTATATTTCTCATCTTCAAATAGTTAAGTGGCGTAAAGGCCAAATACCAATCTTTTTTGTATGATTTGGTGATTTCATATATCTTTCCTTTGTAAATGGGTCCTTATGATTCAGACTTTTTTCCCGTTCCACACATTTGCATTCAAGGAACAAATCTGCTCTTAGATACAATGTCCAGCACAAAAAGTCATGGACTACAAAATTTTCTTCAGAGTTCAATCTGAAGAAAATATTTAGAGAATTGTGTTCTGCAATTTTTGTTACAGTCACATTTCTCCAAACTTTCTTAAACTATATGAAGTGTAAATGAAATTCTAGGCCCTCATTCAGTAGCAAGCAATCACTGTTTTGCTGTTTGCACTGCATTGAAAACATTAATTTCATCGAGGTCATCTCTTTTTTTTTTCTCTTGTTGATACTTGTCTGCCCAAACAGCAGGGTTTCTTCATCTCTTTTTCCACAGTTTTTTTATTGCTTCCAACCCACTCTTCTGGTAAAGTTTGTGATGTACTTTGAAATGTATAGAGAATGTAATTCCTTTCCAACAGAGGTTAAACTTAATACTTACTGGAACAAGAAAAAGTTATTGCTAGCAGGATCTTCACACCTCTAAAATGTGCTCTTTGTGAAATGTGTTTTCAAAGCTCTGTAGGAATCCAGCAGCCCACAGCTGGGGGCACTAACAAAGAGCTGTACAGTAATTAAGGTGGTGAGGAGACCCTCTGCCTCAAGAACAAACAGAATTTTCTAAAGGTGTTTGGGAAAAAAAATGCTACTTCTTTCAACTTGCCCCACTTTGTTACGTGGAGCCCAGTCATCACTGAAGTTGGAAATGTCCTCTAACAGGACAGTGTCAGAACTCTCTGGGCAAATGGAATGGGAAATAGAGTTGTGAGCTCTTTAAATGGAAAAACTTCCAAAAGTAGTAGTTTTCATGTAGTTTCAGTTCAGTTCTAGACAATTATGGATGTGATTTTTGTCACTGTTTAAGGACTAGAAGCTCCATCATCAGTCATTGAAATGAATTGTGCTGTTTGAGGATTATAGCTGCAGCAGGAGCTTGCTCTTTGGTTAATCTGTTATCTTCTGGTTTTCAAAGAAATATTCATTTGTAGAGCTTTACACTTCATATTTCCAACACTGAGTAGTGTCAGGAACATTCTTGGTGAACTGCATTGCAGAAATGTCCAGAACTCACCCAGTGTGAAAGGAATTATGTAAAAATGTGATGGTAAGAGTCACATGTTACTTTTATAGATTAGAACCAGGACCATAGTGTCTATAGGTCATGCTTAATGTATCAAAAGTGTTAATTTCAAATTGTAAAATCAGAGTTACCCTGGTCCCCTGCCATTCTCCATAGACACATCAAATAAATTATCTTTTTTTTTTCCTATTTGATAAAAGGGACTATAATTTTGTGGTTAGTGTTGATATTTTTTTTGTGCATATAAACTTAATTTATGCTAAGCTCCCGTATAATATTTTCCTCTCAGAAATTCAAAGTCACTATTCAAATTTGACTGAGATGAATACATCAGTGAGATGACTTACTCTGAGAATTACATCTAGTTCAGAAAAAACAAATCAAGCTTTCATTTGTGAGAGTTCAGCTGCCAATCCATGAGTTCTTACAAAGCACCTTTTTCTTTATCCTTCTTAAAGGTTTCTGAGTTGACTGTAATAAATCATTCATATCTATATGATGCAATAGAACACCTCCTATTCTTTATATATAGGTGGTTATTTGACATGATTTGCATGATTACACAAGAACAAATACTTAATAGAGTTTTAAAATACTGGTTTATTGACAAGAGCAGCCTAGAATACAAAAACTACCTAAAAAAACTACCTAAAAAATATTTGAACTTAGATCTGTTGTAGTCCTGTCCCTGTGTCGATCATGAAAGTAATTTTAATGTTCTGGTTTTATAAAATCTACCTTTTCCATTTTTCAGAAGATGATTTTTTTCAGAGTATGTTGCAATTCCTCTGAAGCCTTAAAGCAGCTGCATGGCTGTCTCAGCTGAAGTGTTGGGGGTGGGACAACAGTGTGCCCTGTTTTGTGGCAGGAGTGTTACAGGCAGCTCCAGACTGTCAAACTGAGACTTCTGTGATTATCCAAACTAAATATTTTAACTTTATGCTTTCCTAAGTTGTGGATTTATTTTGTTACTTTGCTTGTTTCTGTTACTGCAAATCCTGTGAAATTGTTTGCTGTCAGTTACGCAAACTGGCCCTGGAATGGCACGTTGGTTTTAATGAATAACCACCAGCCAGTACTGTCATTTCTTCAGTTTGAAACATTTAAAATGTTTTCAGTAAGCAGCATTTTTCTTTCAGAGCAAACAGATGTGTTGATACTGCCCTGTCTTAACTTAATACGACTCCTGTATCTTGTCTCAGGAAAAGAAGCGGTTAACGATTTGTAACATTGCTCGTCAGTGGGAGATCCAGCAGAACAGAACAGCCCTTGAGGCTTCTTTAAACCAGGATAAGGACAGTGAGCCCTGTCAGATCAATGGCAGTGCTGCATATGTATTTCCTGAGGAAAGCAGGTATTTTATTGGATAATATTTCTACTTGTTCGTGTCTTACATTCCAGGTTGCTACTTCTCACTGTATGACATTGTCAAAAGTACTATATCCAAATCAATCCTGAAAAGATGTCTTACTTATTACTACTGGTCAAAGGGTAATATATATTTAAAAAGTAATAAAACAGCAAGCTAAATTATTAGGTGATTTTACTAAAAAGTGGACAACTTCATGTTTGCAAGAAATGTTAAATATGAATTCCCGAGCCGCCTTAAGACTGTTCATTTCCTTGACAACTTAGATTGTTGCCTTCAGTTGAAATGAACAAAATGAAGATATATTGGCATTGCAAACATTTGTAACCTCTTTGTGTATCAGGAGGTTTCACAGTTGAATTCATGCTCTTACTTTGAACAGCAGCATCTTCTATTGGACTACTTTCACACCCATTATATTTATCAGTAGCGGTTTTTTGACTTAGGAATAAAACTAAGATAATTTTTATATTCTTGGTTTAAAATATATTATCTTTTTAGCTTACTTATTTGCATCTAAAAGGTGACCATCTGGCATTATATAGTTTAAAACACACTTACTTAAATGCTTGAGTGATTGCTCATGTCATAACTCTTACGTTTCACATGGCAAACACAGTGTGAAGGGGACATTGCTTAAATAAATACATTGTTTGAAGTTGTGTTTAGATATCTAAAGCAACACCAAATATGCTAGGTTAGCATTCTGAGTTAACATTTTTAACCAGTTTTTTAAATATGAATGGATTCTTTATTTAATTTTACCCCTCCACCAACTCAAATACACCCAGAGCCCTTATGCTGAAGAAGTAAAACATTTGCAGTGTTACTTGATTGAAAGAGGATTTTTCCAGCCTTCAGTGTTTTTGAACCAGCACCGGGTGGGGTCCTGAAAATGAATGAATGAATGCTGAGAAATGCCATTGTATTTGACAGCTGGGTTTTGGTGAAAGTAAGGACTGTCATTCGTTGATGTTATTATTTCAAAATAGTGTCATTTTATATCACTGTGTTTTTATTTCCTTTGCAGGTCTCTTGATGCAATTCTGAGCAGTGCAGTACAAGGCTTGTCTGTTCTAGAGTCTCATTTAGTGGAAGTGGAAGGGGACACTCTTGGCTTGTATGGTGCAGGAGCACTGGAGTGCCTGGATCGGAACTGGAGTGTTCAAACAGCTGGAATTATTGTCACAGTCTCCTTTATGTTCATAGAATTTGATGAAATTGTTCAAGTGTTGGCAAAACTGAAGATGAAATTCCCTAATTGTGTGGTGAGTGTGCCTCAGGTTTCAGCTCTGTGAACAACTATGGAAGGTGCATTTCCTAATGGAACCTTCCTTTGGCACTGTCACCCTTGAGTGGCTTCATGTCAGTAGATACAGTTATGAATTTACATCTTTTCTTGGTATTATAATGCCAACTTTAACTTGATACTTCTTAAAAATCAATACTTCAGTTTAGATTCCTTTTCAGACTGGTTTTTATTTCTTTTAATTCCTTTGACCTAGCTGATTATTTTGAAGTTGAAAAACTGGTGTGTAAATACAGTCATGCTACTCTATAATATTGTTATGGATCCATGGTATCAGGAGGACCTCATTTGTGTTGTGAGTGCAAAGATTAGATAGTTGATAGGATAAAAAGAAAGAAGTAAAATTGAAGGGAATAGCTAACTCAGTCAGTACAGCTCTTGGAATTACTCGGTTCTTGATGAAGCCAAGCAATAAATAAGATGTCTCTTTAGTATGTCTCTTTTTCATTTTTCTCCTTGGATGTTTAAATCAGTCATTTTGAAGGAAATAGTAAAATAAAGATGACATACATAAGCAACTTGTAACTCAGGCATTATGACTCCCTGCTGCTTTTCAAGGTTTTGAGTCTAACAAAACTTCATGGTTTAATTGAAATAGATGAATTTGTGGGGAGCTTGAGACAAATTTATCCATATTAATGAAACAATAGTTTTGGGTGACGGGAGGGGTGGAATTTGTGGGTGCAGAATCTTAAACTAAATTTTTATGTTCCCTGTCAATTTTTCCTCCTTTTCTTTCCCTCAATAATGCTGCTGTGTAGCCAGATATATGATGCTCATAGGATCATTAGTGTAGGGCACGGTTCAAACACAGCAGGGTATGACTTAGCCAGCGTGTTGTGCCCAAAAAAGTCAGATTTTTGAAAACGTGTGTCGTATTTACTTTTATGTGTAGATGTTGCAGCTGCTTTACTTGCAGAATTAAAGAAAACATTGCTCAAGTAGTATCATTGCTTTTTGTAACACTGAAAATATTGCTGTTAGTAAAGGATTTATGAATTCCTTGGGGGCTGTGAAGTTGACATCTCTTAATATATGTAATATATAAGCAGTTGAAACACTGATGTGTTTTGCTACAAAGACCTCAAGCGGAAAAGAGCTCAGTTGCCTCACCAGCCCCACGGCTGTTTATCCGAGTTTCCAAAATGGAGTGGCACAAAACAGTGGGTTCACTCTTTGCTGTTTATTTATGGAGTTTGCTGTGGTTTGACCCTTCTCAGCACCTGAAGTTCAAGGAGACAAACCTGGTGGCGCTGCAGCAGTTCCACGCCCTGGCCGAGCTGCATCGCATGGAGCAGCTGACGGTCGATCCTCAGGGAAACCCGGTTGTGAACTTCACCTTGTGGAGATACTACGTCCTGTTCAGGCTGAACCATTTCAATCTGCAGAAGATAAATGGAGTGAAGGTAGGACAGTGTCGCTTCTTTCTTCTGATTGGTCTCACGGGGTCAGTTAGCGTTGGTTTTTAAAAGAGCAGATGAGTTGATAATAAAATGAGCACAGCCCTGTCGGGGTCTTTTCAGTACTAGGGGGAAAAAAATGTAAGTAGACTTCACCATGTAATTTGTTGTGAAATAGATATTAAAATTAACACAATTTAATAATGTTGAATACGTGCAATTAATATTAAATAACTCCATGATTTTACATACTTTTAAGAGGCACTTGTTTATTGTGTTTGAGAAGATCACAGTGCTGACATTGAATACTTATGCAAAAGTGTGTGTTTGACAGACTCCTTAGTGATTTACAGCATATGATTATTTAAAATTTAAAATTCCCAGTGTTACAGAATATCATAGAATCATGTTTTCTTCTTTAAGGCTATCACAGGGAAAAGTAACACAACTACTTAAGTAGACTTTTTGTTGCAATCTCGAGGTCAGGAAATTCAGTCTCTGAAGAAAAACTTGGAATTTAGTATTTCTTGGGGAGAATTGAGTAAATGGAGCACACGTAGCACAGCACGATTTTCTGTAGGACATATATCACATCTTAAATATGTATGACAAGAACATTTTTGTCCTCAACAAATTTTTTCAGCCAGACCACACTATATGAAGATGTGCATGCACACAACTTTTTTCCTAGTGTCATTAATCATTTGAAAAGTGTCATAGCCAAGCTGAGGAAAGAGATGAGCTCTGATTGCTGTTTTTCATTATCCTACAGCAGAAATCATGGCATCCAGCTTTGCAGATGTATATCACCTTTTGGATTAACATCAGTAATGGAAAATACTGCTTCAGTGTAAAGAACACAACCCCTGAAGTGTGTTCTCAGACCTTAGATCAGCCGTAGAGAATCGTTTAGATGACAGAAAGGGAAATGTGCAGGTTCTGCTGTTCTGATCACCATTTGTGTGCAATGTTTGTGGAGACTCTTATGTTGCCAACTCTGAGGTTCACAGAGCTGTGAAGTAAAAGCAATATATACTAACTGAATTAACTAAATAAATTGCGTAACTCTGGCACTTTTAAACTGTAAAAAAAACCCTGCATAACAAAGCTTTTACTTTCTCCAGCTCATGTTCCAGGCTAGAAGCTGAGTGTTCATCTCCCCCAACAATGATTCTAATCCCTTGTCCAATTGTTACATTTACTGTGAAGAAGCAAACTCTCTTAGTTGAGAAACACCATTTGAAGTTTTTCCCAGTGACAGTAATCTCAGATTAATTCCAAATTGCGAAGGTTTGCAGTTACCAAACCCTACAGAAAGCTGTACAGCCGTGGTGTGGCACACAGTGTGACAGATGCACCACATTCCCTGAGCTGGGCCTGTTGGCACAGTTGGTGCCTGTCCCCTGCACTTGGCAGGACCCAGGCCTGAAGCCTTACATTTATGTGATACTACCGTTAAATCTTTTTGTGATTAATGGAGCAAACAATGCACTGCAGTAAGAAAGAGAACATGAGTTTTTGTGAACTGGAGAGTGTATTCAGCATTGCTGTCTCTGTTGACCTGGTCCTTATGCTTCTCTTAACATAAATAAATACATTAAAATCACTTTTTTCTCCAGCAGGCATTTCTGCCTGCAGTGGGCTTTGTTTCCCTAGCTGCCTTCTGTGCTCTTTGTTTTAGACCTTTCTTCTGTTACAGGCTGTTCAGCAAGACCATCTACTCCTAGGCTACTAAGTAAGACTTATTTAATTTTAAGTGAAAATGAACAAATCTAAACACTGTGAAAATGGAGTTGACTTTACATTTCTAATTTCCTGGTCTGTGTTTTCTCTGGTGAATTTATCCCTGCTTTATGCTGTTGCAATATAGTTTAGGCAAGAGTAGATTGAATAGTCAATAAACATTAAACAAGAATATAGTAGAAGTCTGTTAATGTGGATCAAAGTTCCATTTTAGTCATACATTTGAATAATATAGAACACAAAGTTTGTCTGGAACTGCTTAGTAAATATTGTGAGTATTGAAGTTTATTTAATAATGGGTTGCTCTCCCAAAATATGTTACAGGATGAACGGAAATTAAATTTGATCCAGAAGTTAAGAAGTCAGTGAGTAAGTTTCATCATCCAGTGTTATCCAGGTCAGATTTAGATGCTCATAAAGATTGCTTCTGCTCTCAGTGGAAAGCCAGGAGTCCAGAAACTGTGCCAACAAACTTTTGGCAGTTGAAGGCAGTTCACAGTCTGGCCATCCACAGGCCATGGTCTCCAGAGGTTATGAGCCAAGACAAACAGAAAACAATAACAACCACCACCAAAAAATGAGCCCCTTCACCTTCTTTACACTTTTCAATTTTGTATAAAATGAATTCTGAAAACTTTTCAAGCATTGAAAATTAGCTTAAAGAGACATCTGTAACTTAGTGTTGACACAACAGTATGGTTGATATTTAGAGAAGTGTAATGGAGGAACACTTATTTTTGGGAGTTGAAAAATGCAGAGAAAATACTTTTTTTTCCCTTTTGAAGTCTCTCTTCCTGTAAGGTCTTCTCCAGGATTCTGCCAAAACAGGAGAGTCTGTAACTTACCTTTTCACATGTGCATGCCCAGAATCTTTCTCCAGCATAACTTAATCAGAAATTTTCCAGTAGACCTTCTGCAAGTACAGACAATATGGAGCAGAATTGCTATGTCTGGCCTTTAGAAAATCAGTGTAAGAAACTGTTATGAAATTCCTCATTTCACAAAGACTGTCATGACATACAGTACATAGATTGGAATTTCCAGGGTTACAGGAAGTCAAACAGGCACCACTACCCCGTTTGGTTTCTTCTAAAGTACATTCGAAGTGCCAGTAAAAGCAAATCTGTTTTGAAGATGTGCCTGGAACAGATCTGTTTGCAGTGCCCTGTGTAACAAGTCTGAGTTAATTCTCCATGTACGTGTGTAATGAAATACGAATGTGCTAATTCTAAAATGTAGCTTTTTTCCTTTTTGTGGCCTTCCCACTCCCTCACAGGTCACTGAAGATGATGTTGTAAAGGCAGAAAGGCTCTTTGGCATCCTGGCATATGTAGCATCTTCTGAGCTGCCACATTATCGTGTACTTTCATTATTTGGAGAATCCAGGTAAAACACAATGAACAGAACTGAGATTTGTCCAGAACGTGTTGTTTAATTCTTTTGCACACTGTTGTGGTAAATTCTTTTTGGGTAAAAAGATAATTTCACAAATTCTGTCCTACGGATGATAAGTCCTCTGCATATTGCACAAGTGTAACCATCTCCTGGTCTTTGTAGCCAGAGGTTTTCACACAATTTGTGTGAAGTCTGCTGAGTAAAGTGAAAAGGCACATGCACACAAATGTACTGCTTGTTCAGTTCTCCAGTTGTATTGGTATTGGTGAAGACTTGTGGACTTTGACAGTGAAAACTGGCTATTTTTCGTGGGTATTTTATAGTGGGTGACTGTAACAGTTAACAGATTTAGTTGTACTGTAAAAAAGAGGTGCTTAAACCCCTCTATTTTTAGTCTTCTATAAATGAGTACTTAATACAAGTTCAAGCTGCAAGACTTCCTATTTGGAGATGCTGTGTGATATATGTCAAGGTCAATTGTATAGAGGCAAATTAATGAAGGAATATCTAGAATCATATGTATTTCCAATAACTTGAGGATGCAATATACTTGAAAACTCAAAAATATATGTTCAAAAGGAGAAAAAAAAAACCCTCACAATCACTAGAAACATCTGCACTTGAAAAAAAATTCCAATAATTAGGACTGTAAACCTCTTATCTTTTCACAGGAGGAAGCAATTCCATTATCTGCTAGAGGGAAAGGGCAAGAAATCTGGGGTTGGGAGTGAGGAAAGTAGTGATAACAGAAGAAATGGGGGGGAAAGCACAACTCGAGCAACATTGAATTACATGACAAAGGACTTCCATATGGAAAAGCTTGAGGTAAGTGTATCATTAAAAGTACTTTCATTCTCTATTAGGTAACCTTAGGCTACCACCCATGGAATTTGTCTAGATATCAAGTTTCAGCTGTTGAGAATGATGGTTTTAAAATATCACTGCTTAACATATTTACATACCTGATCAAACACTTCATCTGACTGATCTTTGCCAGAGTATTGGAAAATGCTCAGTTTCTCTTTACTGAGGTAGTTGCTGAACAGTGCCACTGTCTCAGAAATACATTCTCACCTACAAGCCTTATGTTCATGACAAAATGTACCTCAATTATTAAAATATAAGAAGTGAGCACAGTTTTTTACAAAGAAAAATGTATATTGCACGTGTTAGATTTTCCCAAAATGAATTGGTGAAGGAACACCTTGACACAGCACTTTAGAGACTGTAGGCTGTAGTAATAAAGAGCTCTTTCCTAGCTTTTAAATGAGCTACAGGCAAGTAAATATATATGAAATGTGTTAGGTTTAATTATTAATAAAACTGCAAGCTGGCTTGTTTCAGACAAGTGCATCAGTCACGGTTGTTTTAGTTTGTGTTTCTGATCTGCTCACTCTTTTGCTTGGGCAGAGGGAAATTGTTCCCAGAGGGAACATGATTCTTTCAGCCACAGTCTCCTTTCTGAGCAGTCATCATGAGTTCTAGCTGTATACACCCTAATTGCCACATTTGTCCCATTATTTGCTTTTTACTTGTGTAGAAATAGATGAATCCTCTAGTGCAAGAAATTTAAGCAAGTTCAGTAATCACTGAATTCAGTTATGGCATTGTGGCTTTGTTATCTCAGATCCACAGCATAGAGCAGAGACAGTGACTGCATGTGTGGAGGGATTAAATTAAGAAAACATTTTGGTTTCAAAAGCTGTGATTGTAGCTCTTAAAACTTTGAATAGCATGGAGTAAGGCAGTGAGGTATTCCTCTTGTCCTTTACCATGGAACAAGCACTATAATATAATAAAACAAAATAAGCTTGGTATTTGTGCAGTCCATTAAATATATGTATTGTTTTCTCTTCCCAGTGCAGCAATTCCCACCTTGTCCTTGGCTATAGCACTATGTTTGCAGCAGATATTGCAGGATGTAAGATAGGCAAAACCAGCTGCTTCCAGTTCCCCATCAGCAGTAAACTAACATGATAAATGCACCTCAATAACCATGTTGGTAAAGATAACAGTCTTGAGTCATTGTTTAATAATTTGGGTTTTTAGCAGAAACCACTGGAAAGTATTTTCTCTTCTTCATCGCTCACTGAAGAAAACTTCTGTTTGGGTGGCCTGAAGCATGATCTAGCATTTTAAACAATGCCATAAATCAAACTAGTTAGACATTTAGCACCAATGTAACTTATTGTTCAAAGCTTATGATGGCATTTTATAGAAACTTTGCAGAAACAGAGATTAATACTGTTGGAGTTACTAAAATGCAGAGCTAGTAGCTGCACAAGGCACCGTATCTTTTTATTAGTTTTTAAAGGTTCAGCTTGCTTCAGTATCTAATGTAATGCTCATTAGGAACCATGCACTTGCCAGAGTGCCTGTTGAAAAGGATATGTACTGGCATGTTTTTCTATGGCAATATGCTTGTTAGGGCAGGTAGATAAACGTGTACTCTCCAACTGTTGTGCTGTGATGATGAAGTGCTGGAAAGGGAGAGAAGGAAGAAAAGTGGTTTAGTGCTTTATAGTTTCTGTAAATTTTCACTGTGATACCAGAAGGCAACAAAAATAGTTAATGCTGTTAAAAGTTATTTATGACCACTTAAAAGTTGATTTCAGATAATTAATGAATTAATATAGAATGGATATTATGAATACACTAAGATTCTGTGGCTCAACACAGACCCTGGGCCATGAGACTTAAAACTAAGAGAAGAAAGTGCACAATAACCTCTTTGCCTGTTAATTGCTACGTCCCTTAATTCATGAAATTTCTGTGTTTGTTTTTTTTTTTTATTTACTCTCGTTTAACCTTTTTTTTTCCCCCCTCTTCCTTATACAACGTGTAATGGTTCTCTCATGCAGGAAATCAAGGAAAGGAAAACATTTTGCCGGACATACGTGGAGAACTTGGTGAAAGAGGCAGCTGACATCAACCTGAAGAACGAGTCGCTGCAGAAGCTCTGGCCTCAGATGTTCATCGAGCTCGTCAGGGATGCAGTGATAGAAATCCGCAATAAAAATTCCTACATGAAGCTCTGCTTGCAGAGGATCACTGAGCAAAAACAGTAGAGCCAAGGAGTGTTGCCTTGCAAGCTTTTGGGATCAGTATTCCATCTTGTTTTACAAACTTCATCCGGTAGAATATAGAATTACCATCACTATGGCACACTTCACCTCCCCACCCAGAGGGATGCCTTTAAATCTTAATCAACTGTCAATAATTTTGAAATACAAGTTTACTTTCATACTGCTTCAACAATGCTTCCTTGGCCAACTAAAGCAGTGAGAGCATTGGTGAGATAACTCGGTGATTGTCGTGTTTTACTAAGTTATTGTTTATTTTTTTCTGCTACCCTTGATTCTGTAGTGCTACAGCATTGATTTTTGAGGAACAAATTTACAATGCTTGCCTTATTTTTTTATTGAACACTTTTCAATTGTCACCTTTTTGACTGCTGCTGTTTAGGAAAAAAAAAAATCAAAAATAGTAGCTGATTTTTTTATGACCAAAAGCTAATAAATTATTTTTACACCCTAAACTCGATGAAGACTTATTATTGTTGCTTAACCTGTGAGATTATAGAACAGTTTTTCACATCAGTGTCATGAGTGCTCAGCATATTGGCATTTAATGAGCCAGATTCTCAACTGAACAAATTGCCCAAACTTGATTTCAGATGTTTTTCATTAATTTCACTAATAAGTTTGTGTGAATTATTATAGGTAAAATATGAACTCAAGGTAGCTCACTTAAGCTTTATTTTTGTTGTGTTAAAATATGTTAATATAATTTATTTTGTTTCTTGATTACTAAGTTATTTACTTCTGAAGTTTGCCAAGATCAAATGAGCTAAAGTGCATGCATTACATTTGGTAAGGAGACTGATGACTACTATTGAGTTGTAATTCATTTCTGTGTGACTGTGTGAAAATTTCATATTATCAATAAAAATAAATTCTTCAATTTTACCCTTCACAGATACTGTAAAGAAGTACTGTGTGCAAAGAAAAGACTTAATGCTGCATGAAGAGATGAGACACAACTTGCCCCTAAAATCAACTGTGAATGGGTAGAAAAAAAACCACATTCCATAGTACAGTAACTTCCACTGTAAACACCTTGCCAGCTTCTGTCCAGAAATTCAACTTAAGAACTGGTAGCAGGTCCAGCTGATTCCCATGGCTGGCATTCATGCCCAGGTAGAAAGTTGTGCCATTTAAACTTAATTTTTTAGTTCCATTGTATTTTAACTAAAAGAATCCAGAATCTTAGTGCATTGTTTTACTTTGTTCAAATTGTTCTTATTTTACTTAAGCTCATTTATAAAAAACAAACCAAAGAAAACTTCCTGCAAGGGTTTCTATGGCTCAGAACTGAATTTATTTTTAAACTTTATCTGGAAAAGACTCTCTGGCAAAGCAGAGATGCAGATACAGTTTAGTAGGTTTTTATACCTTGAAAATCATGGAATCATAGGAAGGTTTGGGTTGTTCTTGAACACTTCCCGGGATGGGGCAGCCACAGCTTTCCTGGACAACCTGTGCCAGGGCGTCACCACCCTCACAGGGAAGAATTTCTTCCTTATATCTAATTAAATCTGCCCTATTTCAATTTAAAGCTATTCCTTCTTGTCCTATCACCACATACCCTTGTCCAAAGTCCCTCTCCAGCTCTCTTGGAGCCCCTTTAGTTACTGGAAGGAGTTTGAGGTCTCCCTGGACCCTTCTCCAGGCTAATCAGACCAAACTCTCTCAACTTTGAATGAGTAGCAGGAATCAGGTGTTTTGGGATCTGCTTGCATTCTGGTCCAGGTGGTGTATCTAATTTGTCAGAGAGAATGCATTTTCAGAGCATGTCCCGGGTTAACAGTGACATCCATCATGTTAATGCAGTTTTCCACTTGGTTTATGTTATATGTGATGTTCTAGACCATACTTGCAGGTGGTTGGTTTTCAGCCTTCATAGAATGTAGTGGAGGTTAAGTCACTTAAATTCTAAGGAAATGTTAGAATTCCTGAAGAAGCTGCTCCAGCACTTGAGAGAATTTAATAGAAACAGTCGCCCATCTGGGCTTTTTGAACTGCTTCATGGAATTTATAGGAAGATTAGTGTATTTGATAGGATTTTTTCCCTTTGCACTGGAAAATTGCACTCTCGTTTTATGGTGCATTTTATTAAGGGAACAAATGAAGACCCTGCAAAATGTGAGCAAAGGAGAGTTTACATTTAAGAAATAACCAGTGTAGAAATGCTCATGGAAAAGTGTTTTGGATCCATCAGTTACTTCACATCATTTCTGTGAAGGGGGTGGGTGGAGCAGTTCCAGCTTCTGCAGGGGGACAGGAACCTTGGCAGCTGTGGAAGTGCAGAACTCTCCTGATGATGTAGCTGGAGCAGATGGGCCCCTTTTGAATCAGATTCAGCAGCAATGAAAGACTGGGGGGGGAAAAAGTGTTTTAAGAAGGGTGTATTGGTTTAGAGGAACAGGAAGTTCTCCTTGGGAAAATCCAGAGAAAAGCCAGACTTTCTGATATTGAGGCTTTAGAAGCATAATCCTGATTGGGGGCTTTAAGGTAGGGCCTAGAAAAACCTAAGATAAGTAAATCAGAGGATATTGAGGGTGAGTTGTAGAACCATCTCCTTAAAATGCTCTGTATTCCCAGTGGTCTGTGAAAGCTGCCAGTTTGGACTTTTTTCACTAATAGCAGCTGTTTCATAACAGGATTGCTAAATGGCTGAAGTAAGGGGTAGCTGGGCAGCTATAATAAATAAAAGATTAATGTTGGGCTGCTTATGTTCTTTTCACATAAAATCAGTAGGAAAATTGTTACTAATTCTTTTTAGGAAACAAGTGAATGATGGATTAAAGAGATGTTAGACCTAAGAGTACATAGAAGTTTCAGTAGCCAGGGGATCTTAAAATTGTTTGCCTGCTATATGTCATTACTGTGTTTACCCAAATAATTTGTAACCTAATTTGTAATTTCATGTAGACTCACAAGATATATTCCTGTAGTTCATTACTGAAGAGTTTTCAAGTACCTAAAAATTTGAAGGTCATATAAGAAGTAAATTCTTAGATTTTCTGAATTTTTTATGGTTACAGGTATAATTTGAGGAGTTAAAGTAACCTTTAAATGCTGCATAAAACCAAATTTTGATATTGTTATTATTTCATTGATATCCCATCCAGAATGGACTGTTGTGATCCCCTAATGTAGCCTGACTTTGTGCACAAGACAGGAGCTATTACTATAAAATATCTGTATTTACTCTGACTAGAAGTCATCCTAAGGGTTAAAAAAATACTGTGTTGACTTTTAAGTCTTATGAAAACTTTTTTCGCCGTTGATTTTTGGATTATTTGTACAGTTTCATTATTTTCTGAGAGGAATTTCTGCTGTATCCAGACAAGGGAAGATAATGATGTTATTTTTTTTTCAGTTTCAGTTTAGCTGTATCACACGTGAAGGCCTCATTATGTGATGCAGAGTCACTGTTATGCAAGTGAAATTTGATCTTCGGTAAGGAGGCTGATGAAGGGCCGAATTTCCTTTTGATCTGAAAAAGTCCTAGAGCTGCAAATGTGCTGCCACAGTGGAGCAAAGGGAGAACAGATTCCCCTGATGCAAACCAAAAGCTGATGCAGTCAGTTACGAGGGAAAAAAGGTACTGGGAAGAGGTTTAAACTGAGCACAGAACTAACTAAAAGTGCCTCACTGCCTGGGACCAAGTGATAGATCTGAATCTGGAAATAGCTGAAAGTTGTTTACAAGTGAATTATTCATACTTTAATCAAGTAAACTACTTAAAATAACGACAATAATAAAAAGGTTAACTTATTAAAACACTGGCCATCTACAGATTAAGCTAGGCTATTGTAGAACCAGTACTAAGTCCACAATCTATGTATACATTCTGTAAATTCAGGACAAGCAGTTGATTTTTTTTTTTAAAGGAGCTATAGGGCTGCAAAAGTAACAAACAATGATACTTTCAGTTGCTACTTTTAATCATAGTGACACATCAGCATGAACTGCTTTTTGCTAACTAGTTTATTTAAAGAAGTTAAGCCAAATACTTGCTATTTCATATTATTAAGCAATATCCATAAAGATGTGATTTAGATTGGGAGGTCTGTGTGCATATTCAGAATCACAATAGCAGCTATTTGCTTTGATTGGGAAAACAGACTTCTTGGATGTGTTTCTGTTTCCACATCATCCAAACTCTGCTACATCTTGAAACCCAGTTTCAGTGAAATTATTTTTCTTTTTAAGTTGGAAGCATCATATTTTTGGTGCATTTTAAGACTTGGTGTTTTGTTGCACATGTGTAGAACAAGGACAGGAAAGAGGAGACTATCTGAGTTTGTTCTGTTGTCTGATAAGGTGGCTTTTGCTCGAAAGTGAATATAAACTGTTTGGGGTTTTTTTCATATGAAAAAGTAGACAGTGTAGGCTACACAGACATTAGACAATCTTAGAAAAAGCTGATAGGTATCTGCTTACACACATCACCTCAGAGCTGGATTTTCTTGAGCATAAGCTCAAAGAAATTGAATCTATGGGACTGTTTATACAACCCAAGCATTAATTTTGTTGGCTAGATTTGCTAGGCTTCTGCTCTCAGAGGAAGAAGGAAAAACTCATCTGGAGGAACTCCTGTCTCTGCTGTGGTGAAAACAGCATTTCTTTACAAGCTGTGTACTGGGCCTTACATGCCATGCTTGTGTACAGATGGAGTGCACAGATGCTTCTGCTTCTTGTATCAAATGTCAGGAAATCCTGGTGAAGGATCAAGAAGTCTTAATGGGGGAAAAGGTGACTCTTCTTGAATTCTACATTGTATGGTTTTGGTGTTTGGGGTTTTTTTTTTCAGTTATAGATAGATATATTTCAAGCAGAAACATACTTGACTGATGAAAGCACACTGAGTGTATAAAAAAGCAGAAAACTGTAGGTTAGAATATTTGTATCAAATCCAGCATTAGAAGTGTCCAGCATCCCCAAGGAAAATGGTTGGTACAAGGCAACCCTATATTCCTTACTACTGATACATTGACTTGAGGATGCCCTTATGGGTACCTGTTTTATCCAGCTATCTGGAAAACCCTGAAGGCTTCCTGATTGCTGTGGACTTGGATTGATTGGTACAGTGCAAAATAATGTATCAAGACAGCAGGATCGGATTTCTCAGTCATGGGTTCCATTGGTTCATGCTTATCCCCACCTTTTGCTGCAATCTTCCCAGTTAGGTAGGTACTTGCATATTCAGGAAAATCTTGTGTGCAGCCTTCATTCTTATATAGTGCATGGCATCTGGAGTATTGCTACATCCATAACTGGGACTTTCCAGTTCCAGACCAACTGTTCCTTTCACTTCTGTTTGACTAACGTGTGTATCCCAGGGGTTAAATGCTGCAATTATCCATTTTACACCTAACAAAACTGGAACTTATAAGGAATACTGAGCAGGTCATAAACAAGTTCATTATTTCTGGAATACTAGACATAGATAACATCAACAGCACTAACCTTTTAAAACAGTGAGAATGATACCTGTCTAGAGTAAAGGTAAGGAAAAACCTTTCTGTGTGTAGTGTGGAGCACTTACCACTTTAGCACAGGAGAAGATAGTCTGGAATGATAATGGTTTCCATCTATTTATAATGTATCATTAGACAAGAGGTTGAAAAGTTAATTCAGATTACAGTGGTGAAGAAATTGTGCCTGTGAATGTGATGTTTGTCCTACATGCCAGTGTAGTCTAGACTTCTTACTTAGTCATGCAAGTAACAGTGATATTAATGTAATTTACATTCAAATGAAAGAAATCATAGTGATATGTAGAGAAACTGTGACTTTACAGAGATAAAAATTGAGTTCATTGATTAGCTATTATGTGACACTTAGAAATTATATAGTGACACAATATGTGCTATAGTTTGTGTTCTATATGGGTGTGTAGCACATTTGCTGCCTGTGTGCATTAGGCTGCAATGATCCATGCTTTCTAATAAAGTAAGGAAATACTTCTGAGGGATGATGAAAGAAGCACAGAGTGCAGATTTTTCAGTTTCTAACTCAGCACTGACAATAGAGTATATTGAGCTTCATACAACTGCTGTATCCTGGGTAAAGTGCACATGTTGGAGCTTCCAGAGTCATTTGACTATGAAGCTGTTGTGAAAGTCTTCTCTGCAGATGTACTAATGCAAGATTTAAATGCAAATCAACATCCTGCTGAAGATTCTAAAAGGTATTTGCATTGATTTATGCTCTTTATTAGGATGCATAATCAAAACAGGAAGATCTAAACCAGGTAACCTATGTGAGCTAAAACCTTGATGCTGTTGAAGTTGTTGCAAGTGACAATTTATATTTATGGTGATGACATCTATGTCTCAATCATCTGTGCTGACTAGAGGAAAATAGACACTTCTACAGTGTGAAAAATCTGATTTGTTTTAGATGTCCATCTTTTCAATGAAGTAGAGTTGCCTATTCTTTTTTTTCTTCCCCTGTTAAGGTAGTCCAGGCAGTCATCCAGATGTTGATGTCTGCAAAAGTTTGGATTTGTACAGACAAGTTCCATCCTTCCCACCTGTTGCCTGCTTCCCTCTCATGTGATTAAATCCAGTGTTTTCTGCCACGCCAGTCAGAGCCCACAGAAGTAGCCCTTTGTATGATGAACAGGCATGTGCTCTGCTTGGCTTTGGGGTAAAATCTGAGTATCCTAGATTTCCAAAAGGAGACATGCTAGTCTTCAGTGAAGCCTTGTCACACTTGAAAAGGCTTTGAGGTCTGGCACACAGACTCAGGGTCCTCAGAACACAGGTTCTCTCCTCTGCTCTTTTGAATGCATATATTGCTGAAGGGGGGAGAGAGACTGGATTGGAGTAGACATTGTTAGACAGCAGATAACTGCTTTTTCACTCAGGTCGTTGCAAAAGCATATGCCTGTGAGTAGTAAAGAGTGTTGCAAAATATGTTAAATGTGTTTGGTGACAAGCCAGAAATACATGTGTTAAACATGTCAAACTAAGCAGCACATCTCCATTGTCAGGCACAGCCCTTTCTGTGGTGGGGAGCTGACTGGTTGCAAGGCAGCTGCTGTCTCTTGTAAGGGATTATTGTGCTGGGCAACTGCAAAGAAAGTAGGTCATTTGCAGATAGTATGGGTGTTCAAGTTGTTGAACAGATTCTTCATATATTCTGCAGGGTATCATTCTCAGAATTTTCAGATTTATTTAAAGGAAAAATTGCTTCAGAGATGTGAGGGACCCTTTAGCTTGGCTGTTAAGAATTTTTTTTTAAAAGTGCACAAATCTGTGTCTCATTGCTGCTTGTAGAAGAAACCAAAAAGGAACCACAGGTGGTCTGAGAAAGTTGTATTATTTGTTCTTCCTTCTTTGTTGGTACTGAACTTTTGCCCTTGCTTGATGATGCTGTAGCTCACTCACCCTCAGGGATTAACTAGAGGCTGTGTCAGGAAACTATTTTAATAGAACTAGGTGTGCTCAGGGCAGTCTCCAAATTCCATCAGCATATGGTGCCATCTAAGATTAGTCATTTATTTTCACACCTTCCATCAACACCTCACTTTAATAACCTTTGTCACGTCGCAGGGACAAACTACCATTTTGATAATGTGCTCCTCAACATGTGACCTGTGAATGTGTTTGAGGTCTTTCAGTGGAACAGATGAGTGTCAATTGTAAAAATTCTCCTATTAGAATATTTAGTGTAAGGTGTCTGTGCAGCCTTACTGCTGACTGGCTCTCAGTTTTTATTCTGTTACTGTTATAAAATACACTTGTCAAACACCTCCAAAATGGTATTTAGAGGAGACTATAGGATAAAAAGCTGTGCCTTGGTGAGGGTCATCCCCTCATGGCCTACATTTTAACAGCAGCAAGAGTGAAAGAAAAACACTTATTTGCATTACTTATCTGGCAATGGGCTGACAAAGGTGTTAAGGTAGCCAGGTGCTGTTTATCTCATCTGTGCTGTATATTAAGTGTGGGGCAGCTACAGAGAATGAGGCAGTCTTGTGTATTTTTAGAGGTGTGAGAACTGTTGTGGGGAGCCAAATCTTTCCAAATTTCCCCTCCCCTACTCTGCTGAGGAGGCTCTGACTTTCCCCACCCTTTGTTTCCAAGCTGCAGTGTATTCTGTTGTTATTTAAGGAAAATACTGTCAGCACTGCTTGTGTGTTTGTTTGTTTTGCCCGTTCCACCCATAGCATGTGTGGAATCTGTGATAAATAAAACGCACTGAAAGCAGGTATTTTTGTGTGAGCTTATGTGCTAAGCATTTAATATCACTTTGAAATATTTATTGATTTAGAGGAGTCTTTTACTCTTGATTCTTTCCTACATGTGTGTTTCAGAATGCTATCAATTCAGTGATTCCTAGTCTAAAGCATTTGGAAATCTAGAACAGGATTGCCAAGTCTTGCTTTTTTATTAGTATTTGTGTAGTAGGGGGTTTTTTAATGACAATTTGTGATACAGCTAAAAATCTTGTAAAACTTTAAGTAGGTTCTTGGAAATTGTCTTTAGAAGATCAAATAAAAATTATTTCAAAGTTTTGGCTGAAATTTTTTCACCTATTTTAGACAAAGCTTTCAAAGGCTTGTTTCCTTAACTATTCAAAAGACAGTTTTGTGATGTGCTTCAAACTACTTCTTTCATAAAATCTGTTTTTTCAGAGTGATTCACAGAATCTTCTAGAGATTAACTTGGTGAGTGTAATTGTTTATCTTGTTCTCATTCTGGACTAAAGTGATATGATGCTGTTTGACTTTCTTCTTTCTAGCATTGTGTGATGACATCAGTCTTCACATCAGAGAAAATTAGAGCTTGAAGCTACAACATATTCTTGGCAGGAGTTATGATACTGGAATCAGGATTTTGGCTAGGGCAGACTCCAGGGTGATCTCCTGGAAATGAAGAACAACAGTTACTTGTACACTTAAACCAAGCAGTTACATGCAGCTTGTTTACTGGGGGTCAATAAAGGTTTTTGTTCTTTAATTATTTTTTATTTTGTTATTGGGATTCTTGGAAAATTTTCATCTACTTTCAGATCTGAGAAAAAATTGCTTGCATTGGTAGCAAATTATATCATTCCGTTCCTAGGAGGATCTTGGAAGGGATTCTTGCAGCTGCATCTAGAAGTTTAGGGTCTCTTCTTATCATATAGAGGTGAAGAAAGTGGTTATTTTTGTGACTGGAATGGAGATAAGGAGCAAACCAGGTCAAACTTTGTAATTTTGGTCTTCCTGTTTTTACCTCTCTGAGACTATTGAGAAGGGGAGGGAGAGTTGGAGGGGTGGCAAGAGTGTGGGCTGTGAGATAGGAAGAGGGACTAGAATGGTGATCTGAAATTGGGAAATAGGCCTGTTTGAAGGGCTCCTTCAGGAACATGGGGAACTGGCAAACCAGCCTGCTCTGGTGCAGAGTGCTGTGGAGGAGAGGAAGGCCTGCAGGACTGCAGTGGAGTGAAGTGGAGAGCTAGACACGGGGAAGGGGGAGCTGGGAGCCAGGAGTGCAACTTTGATTTCAAGCCTGTAGAGTTTGGCAGGTCTCTGCAATTTTGAGTAAGAAATATGTGCACCCCAACCTCAGTGAACATTTGTCTTTTTCTCATAACATTCTTTAACTGTTCTCTTTGGTTGCTCTCCCAGCTCGTTCCAGAAGGCAGCTTTCTGCAGGCTGTGTTAAAGCAGGATGCCTCTGGCCTGTGTCAGGTCAGGATTTTACATCACTGTTGAGTATTTGCTACTACTTTATTTACTTTGGGAATGCCTGGTGATCACTTTATAAAATGACAAAGAATAGCTCTATCATACAAATACCTGTCGGGTTAGAAAGGGTAGGCCCTTTACAAGCAGTATTGATAATCCTTGCTGCGTGATGTCTCTCTCCTGGCACTCCACCAGAGACATTCCCAGGCACCTTATGAAAACCAGGAACTGTGCAAACTTTCCTGCAAGTCTGTGGCACCCATCATCTTTGTGTTTTCTGCAGGGAGCAGTTACCTGCTCACTGCTGTTAAAGGCTTAATACATTTCTCAAAAAGCATTTTCGCAGTTCTGTGTTAGAGCAGATAAACTTAAGAGAAATTCAAGGTAAATGAATTGTTCTGTTGGGGCAGCAGCTTGTTCCCATCTGCTGCCTTTGCCAAAAAGTTGGCAGATCTTTTCAGCAGGGATGAAAGATGGCATCGAGGATAAAGTGCCCCCAGTGCTAATTTGAAAAGCAGTGCAAGTGGGTGAGAAGTGGTGGGTGACTGCAGCTATGGATGGACACCTTTCCTTGGTGCTGCACAGATCTGAGCAGAAAATGTTCTACTGGCAAATGTCATGCACATGTGTTAAAGGTTTGAAAAGAGGGGTCGGAATTTTTTCCCAATATCAATCCCCCCCACACACATCCGTTTTTTTCCAGGGTGGGGGGAGGCAGGAAGGAGCCACTTGCTGTTTATTTGGTTTTGTTAATAAAGAGCTGTTGTTTTCCCTCTCCTCACCTGAACCCTCTTAATTTCAAAGTTGTAAAGTAACGTGGAGGGAGAAGGTTGGCTTTTCTTTTCTGCCCCCCCCAACGGACATTTGTGTCTTGCTGAACTAAGACAACATGGAAATTTGCTGTACTGTTCCCTTTCCAGGTATGTAGCAGGGGAGGGTCTAACCCAGACACGTATTCCCCTTTGGTGGGAAGAAGTTTATGGTTTGAGCTGGCTTAGATTAGTGTCTAAGGACAGAATAGGACCATTCAACTTTTAATGCTGTCTAGGAAATCACTTCCTAATCTACCAACAGTCCAGTGCTCAGGGTCTTCCTCATACATGGGATTTAAGAGGATGGTCTGTTATTTCAGGATTCACTGACATTGCTATGGTGCTGACCTTGAGCAAAACGTGTTTGCAAAACCTGTGCAAATCAAAGGCCTCAGGTCTGAAAATACTCCTGAATGGTGTGGTGGCTTGGAAAATCAGAGACAAACATGAAAAGAATCTTCAAACTGGTCCAAAATGTTTCTTAAACAGAACAGTTATGTTACAGAAAATGTTGCTGTTACTCCATTATGCCTCTCCCAAATATTTAAAAAAGAAATAAAAAGGTATTTTCTCTGGCAGGACTTGAGCTTTAGGCTATAGATCAAACAGGTTCATACATTTTTCTGGCCTCTTCTTTTAAATTTTGTTTTTTGATTGATTTCTTTATATTCCCATCAACATCTACTCATATTATATTTCAGAGTGGTCTGGCCAACAGTCTTGATACAGAGACAAAAATCTTTAGTCTTATTTAACCAAGCTGGTAAGAGATCTATATTTTCATCCTGAAGTCTGGGGCTGTCCTTGCAATATGTTACAGGAGTTCTGTCTCAAGATTTTCAGAAGTTTCTGACACTGAATAAGTATTTAAATGCTATTAAATGCTACTTCATTGGCATTGAGCTCTGAGCTCTTCTTTTCTGGAGCTGCAACTAAAATCAATGACTAAAATCAATGTAGCAATATTAATTCTCATTCTTCTAATGTGCCTGGATGCCACAGGGAATTGGATTGGGATCCCATGCAGCTACTTAAAGCATATTGCAGCTGGTTTTGCTGCTCCCAAACTTTGTCCACAGAACTGTATGGTTGGAGAATGCAGCTGGTTTTTGCATTGCTGAAATTTGGCTGACTCTGCAGCAACATCCAGGCCTTTTTGGATGCCTTATAGTAAAAGTCCAACACTGCTAGTGCTCTGCTTTTATTATTAGTGAAGGTGCAAGTGCTAAAAATATGTCTTGCTTTCACAAGAATTTAAGCACAGACAATGCTGCAGAGAGCTCCTTTCTGTCTGGGTCTCGTTTGCGTGATCTGCATCTGGAACTGAAAAGGGCCAGGAGGTTTCCACATAAATAAATCTTTGGGATCTTTGAGATTTCCATGATGTCCTGCTCCCCCCCCCCGCCCAGTCTCAGCTTTGATATTCTTTCTTTAAAGAAAGTTAGGCCTTAGCTGGTTTAGTATCAAAGGAAACCTCAAATATGTGAAGTTGGATGTAGGGGATGCAGACAGAAGTTTACCCAGAGCTTGTGACAGTAGTGGGAGGTGTGAACTACTGCCTTTGCCTCTACTGAATGTTAGCTCAGGTATTTAGCAGAGGTGTCTAGTTGTGTATATTAAGTATTTAATTCCTTAAAGAAAGAGTGAAAATACTAGAGACAGCAGAGTTTATTGATGTGTGGTGGGAGGCATGTCAGTTTGATGGCTCAAGCCAGTGGCGTTTGGGAGTTGCTTCTGGTTGTTGGTGTTACAAAGGAGAAGTCCAACACTAAACTTGGTTGGGATAGGAACTAAAGAGTGGGGATTTTAGGTTTCTAGCATGTCCAAGGAGTGGTTTGTCCTGTGGGCATAAAACCTGTCACCCTTCATCCACATTCCTACTCTCACTATTATTAAACAAGAAAGCATTAAAACACTTCCAAGTCTGAAATGAGACACTTCCTGGAGTCCTGAATGCTGGACTGGTTGGTTGGGTTGGGGTTTTTTCACCCTGGTTGCCTATCCTGTCAATCCTTTTTTCTTTAATAAGCTCTGTTTTGAACCTGATCAAACAGGACTATTGATACATATCAATCTGTGGATATGAAAGGTGAGGAAGAAGAAAATAAGCTTTTTTTAGGAAGAAAAAAATTACATCCAACTTCACCTTGTTTGGCTCCTGTGCTCCAGTTGATTCTTTAACTTAATTGGTTAATGACTCACTGGATGACTCAATGCAATAATTCTTTTTTTTACAATATGCAGTTTTTCTATGTTGAAAAGGTTCTTTCCTCTATTGTTCCTTTAAAAAAAAAAGGCATTTAACAGGTTTGGGCATTGCTACGGTCTCTGCACACCTCAGGTACATGCTTTCAGAATAAAGCTGCTTATCCAAAGCAGAGTTTGAAGATCAGCATAGAGACTTTTAACTGTAGAATGGATGTTAAGTACTTTCTTAAAATTCAAAACCAGTCCTACGTTCAGACTTGTCTTTGTAAGAATAAGAACAAACAAAATAACTGCAAATGCAGACCTACTTTTCGATATACAGGATAGACATAGTTGATACAGATTCCTTCTACTCTTTTTCAAATTTGAGACCACAAGAGTGAGAACATTCTCTGATGGTGTTGGAGAGCAGTTCATTCCCTTAAATTTGCTGACAGCGCTTGAGAAAAGTTTGTTTTGTTTTGTTTAGAACCCGGGGCCAAGCAGTTCCGGAGTTTAATAACCCAAGACAGGGTTAT